TACGACCACATCCTGTTGTTTTCAGATGAGAGCAGCTAATGGAGTCATTTCTCCCGTCAACGCGTTTGTTTTGGTTGTATCTACCCAGAATTCCCTGCGCTGTATTTGGAGCGGACTCTGGTCCGTTTGCGTTCACATCTGTATTCAAACAGCTTCTTTTGGAAAGAACATTTCAACCAAACCGGGCCGAGGCCGGCGGGCGGGTCGGCGGCCGGCGGCGGCGGGCGGGCCGGCGGGCAGGCGGGCGGGCGGGCGGGTTGGCGGCCCAGCAGGCGGGTCGGCGGCCGGCGGGCGGGTCGGTGGGCCGAGGCCGGCGGGCGGGTCGGCGGCCGGCGGGCGGGTCGGTGGGCCGAGGCCGGCGGGCGGGTCGGCGGGCGGGTTAGCGGCCCAGCAGGCGGGTCGGCGGCTGGCGGGCGAGTCGGTGGGCCGAGGCCGGCGGGCGGGCCGGAGTTAGCTTTGTTGGTCCGATTAGCATTCCTCCTCAAACGAACTGGACTTTCCAGACAGACGGACTGGAGTTGGATAAAAGCGGGCTGAACAGGTGGGAATCATCCCTGAAAGGACAGACAGGAAACTCCTGTAAGAGCACAAGAAAAAGAAAATGCTGAGTCTTTGGTTGCCATGGTGATTCCCACCATTTCTGGCATTTCAATGCCGATTAAATCGCAGCGATGCTGCAAATCAAAGGTTTAATGACCTTTCCAGCGTGTTGTTAAGCAGAAACCTGGCAGCTTGGAGCTGAAATTCAACCTGCAGGACAAACCAGAGGAATAATCCTGATCACACATGAACTGCTGATAGATATATTAATGTGACATTTTTATTATCGCCATGGAAAACAGTTTCTACCTTCTTTAAAAATGAAATCATGATGGCAGAATGAGGTCACATAAAATGGATTGTTTTGCAGGTTTTCTGTTAAACATGGAGCGTTACTGCCACCCTGTGGTCGGTTTGGGAACTCTAACAGGCTACTGTGACTTAGTTTAAAATAAATATTCCCCGTTTGTTTGTTTTCATCAAACACATAAAAGCAAAAAAGCTTCAGGTTGTAACATTTTGAATTAATATGTTGTACTATCTGTGAGGAAGAGGAGGGTCGATGCCGATTTCAGGCAAAATGAAGAAGACGTGTGTTTGTGCACAGCTTCAGGGTCCATGCATATTTTATATGTGTTTGTGTCTTTATGTACCTGGCGCTCCTGTGTGGTTTAGTTTCTCTTTCTCTTTTTGTTGTGCAGAAACGCCAAAGAGCTTATAAAACAAGATGTTAGAAAGTCATAAAAGGGGAAAAAATAAAATCAATGTCAGCAAACCTGAAAGCATCAGCAGGGATATAAACTTTTATACAGCATCACTTTCAGTGCAAACCTGGAGAAGAACACAAACAACCTGATAGTGTCAACATGATTAGAGTTTAATGCATTCATCACAAGGAGATTATCCACTTATCATTCGTTTAAATCCAGAATTATGACAGCGATATTTTTTACTTTGAAGACACCTCAAACACGCTGCCGCCTCCGCCGCTGTTGCCACAAAAACAAAGATGTCAGCCCAGGATGATAGGAAGACAACTGTTGGTATAATTCCCAACAGACCTCAGTGTGTTTCGGTTGAAGTGAGCTCTGGTTCAGTTCAAATGCATGTGTGAATGCCATACGGACTCTTCTCTTGTTATGTCCCTTAGTGGTTCTTGGTGCAGCGCCCCCACAGGCGAGGAGGGGAACAGGTTTTTCAAAAGATTTGGACAGTGTGGTATGAAAGCGAACTGTACCAGCTGAAAATGTGGCAAATGTTGCAATTTTGGTCCCCAATCCGACCAAGTCCACCAGACTATCAGGTGTGAAACACTCTAGTTGGTTTCCAAACAAATTGAGCAACCTGTTCCCCTCCTGGCCTGTGGGGGCGCTGCACCAACAACCACTGAAGGAAACGACACAAAAACCTCTGAAGACACTGAGCACAACTTCCTTCTTCACCAAATCTAAACAAAACTGGAATCCCGTCAGATGTTTGTAGGATTTCTCTTTAGTCTTTGGCTACGAGCCATTTCTCTTGCTAGCGCTAGGCTAGCATGTTAGCTTTGGTTATATTTACCCAGAATGCCTTTCGGAACAGTCTGCTGTCCGCGCCAGAGTTCGCTTCAACCAAACCGAGACTGAGGTTTGCAGGTGGACCACCGTTCAATTTCAAGTGAACTGGACTTTGTAGGCAAACGGACTGGAGTTCAGTTCTGACTGTCACCAGTAGAGGGAGCTCTGCTTTAAGGAGAAGCTTAATGTTTGGCTTGTGATCTTTGATACCTTTGATAACTTTGAGAAATTTCATATTTTTGTTATTATTTTTATGACAGGCATATTTTTCTAAACATTTAAAAAACATTAAAATCAATTCTTAAATCAATCAATCAATACAACCACAGCTGGGCCCAACGAGGGCCGGAGGGTCAGGTTGGTTCAGATAGCTTAACCTTAACCTTAACAAATAAAATTATAATGTGAAAAACAATATTTTTTTATTGTGGTTTCCTTTGTTTATTAGTCATTTGTACATGTAAAGTCTTTAATTTTGGCAGTTTCAGCTCTCCATACATCCGTTAATAAGTAGAGTAAAAGGATAATAATTGATTTTTGTCGTGATTATGAAGAAACACACTTGGTTGCACATTACCACCTATTTTATTGCATTTCTGCTGTTTAAAATTAGAAACCTGTTTAATTTTCCGTTTAGTTTTTTCTCTCCTGAGCAGGTTTGTGTTTTTATCGCCAGTTTTCTGGGTTTTAGTCGACGACTCCTGCCGTTTTGTTCTGGGTGTTTGCAGAAAGCAAAGCTCCAAAACCCGCCGGGGATCCAGAGTTCAGCTTTTGTTGTTAATTTGCTCTGTGAATTTGTGGAAGAAGTCTTTGGAGGAGTTCGTCAGCAGCTGTGTGGGAGTGAACAGGTTGTTTCAAGAATCACAGAGGAATTAATACCTTTTGTTTTATTGCTGTTTAGCATTTTAAATTTGCAGAGCTTGGGAAGGATTTAACATAAATTTCAAGCAGCAAACAGTTTCTCAATAACCCTGGATTAAAAGCTCTTGATGATGCTTTCAAAGCATCGATTCATGCAGCTAAAAACAATTATTTTCCAAAGTTAAGCCAAAAGTAAACATCACTAACACTGAGGAAAAATGATAAAGTCCAAATCATTGTTTGTTGTATTAAACCAGCTAATAAAGCCTCATTAAACCAGAGACGTTTTCACAGCTTCTAGTTTTGCATTTAATTTAAAAACTATTAAGTATATTTAGATTTAAATATTGTTTTTCACAAATTGTGAAAATAATTTTTATCACTGTAAACTAAAATGAAAAAAAATTATTTTCAAACATACTGAAAATGTACTCAGTTGTTGTCACTTAACACTTTCTGTAGAATATTAGAAAGACATTAAAAGATGCAAATAAACAAATAAATTATTTTTTAAATAAGAAAATAAGTTGATCATTTGTAGCAAAAAAAACCCAATACTTATAACATCAACATGTGACATTTATTGTGTAGTTTTCATGTGTTGAGTCTAAATACTCCAGTTAGTGATTAACTGAATATTGAATTAGTTGATTGTTTCAGTCATTGATTAATCATAATCAGGCCGATTTAAGTAGAGAATCAAGGAGAGTTTTGGGTGAAAAGTTTTCGCATCAATATGTTTACAGAAATGAGAAAAGTTGCATCATTTCCTCATTCATGAAGGTTTTAAGCCACCATGGAGAAAATCTTTGTTGCTGTTGAAACAAATTGTAATCTGAAGTCTTTTGTTTTTCCTGCTGAGGAAATGAGAGATTTCCTCTTGTCAGATGTAAGGAGGCCCGTGAGCCACTGACTGATCCTCCTAATGACCCAACAGAGACTCGACTCCTTTTCCTGGGAACCGGGGAGCGGCCCTGAGCGCCGGACCCGGTTCTTTACGGGTCTTTAAATCACTCCAGAACAAATGCAGGGAGATTTCTGTCAGGCTTGTAATCTTTATTAAGTCGTGCTGATGGTGAGAAGACGCCGCCGCCGCCGCTCTCTCAGCAGACTCATTCCCCGCAGTGATTGTAATTGTTCTCATAATAAATGCCGGTGATAAGAGCTGAGAGGATTTCATTACACGTTGCCAAGGTGATAGTGATAGTTATGACTGTTTGAAAAGCTAAAAATGTCGATCCGGCTTTTATTAAACTGTAGTCGCGACTAGACAGTCTGTAAAATAGAAATATCTCAAAATATTATGAATTAAACTCCAGAGGAAATTTCTGTTACAACAAACTTTAATAGTTGGATTAATACAGTGGTTTTCTAGCTTGTATTTTTATATATATATTCTTCTTATTAAAGGATATAAAAAGTCTTTCATTCATTTAATACGTTGCAGTTTGTAGAACAGTGTCCTTGAGTTAACAACCTCGTTCCTTTTTTCTTTATAATAAAGCTGATGAACTTCAGTCTCACCTTCATTATTTTTGCTCAGTGACTCAAATCACTTCTTTTAAAATGTTCAGATAAATTTAATCCTTCTGTTTGCATGAGACCAGAGAAACGTTTGCCTTGTCAGGATTCCTCCACTCATGACTGAGAGAGAGAGGAGAAAAAGCTCAGGAATATGAAATTAATAACTGGAGAAATGTAGAAGATTTAATTAAAGCCACATTTAATGAAAATGTGTCTTTTAGAATATGTTCCTTTCTAGGGAAAAGGATTAGGGACAAAAATATCTGATTTTGTTCTCAGAAGATTAAAGTCAAAAGTTTAAAAGAAAAGAGTTTGAATTCTGAAATTAAAGTCAGAATTGTGTGGAAAAAGTTATAAGTTGAAGGAAAAAAGTTAATTTCTGAAATTAAATTGAGAATTTTGAGAAAAAAGTCAGAATTGTTTTTTTTTTCAGTGACCTTTATCCCTTTTGTACAACTGAAGAAACATCCCATTTGAAACCTTCGTTATGAGTCTAATGAAAGTGTTTTTTTATTTCAGATGGACCCCATGTTCACAGTCCCAGCGCCCCCGGCTCCAGGCCACCCCGTGGCCCCCGGATCCTCCCTGCCCTCGGTCCCCTCGTTCTCCTCTCCGGCCCTGCCCACTTCCAACCCCAAGCCGCTAACGGTCCGGACGCGGTCCGTCGGCACCAACACGCAGGACGGAGGCGCTCCGGGCCCGGCGGACGGGGACCCGGCCTTCTTGGGGCCCTGTCAGCCCGGAACCAGCGTCAACCTGGAGGGGATCGTCTGGCACGAGACGGAGGAAGGTCAGGAATGTTCTGGAAACTCTACATCTATGGCGGGAAGCAACATGGACACGCGATTAACCCATTAATAATCATTGATCGTGTCATGTTGAACAGATTCTAGACATTTCAAAGTATATTAATAAAATAAACTCAAATTTTAACAACCAGGCCAAACCTTTTTATTTAGTCCAACGTCATCAAAAGCAGAACCCCCCAATCTGGCAACCCTGCCTGCCCAATCTGGCAACCCTGCCTGCCCAATCTGGCAACCCTGCCTGCCCAATCTGGCAACCCTGCCTGCCCAATCTGGCAACCCTGCCTGCCCAATCTGGCAACCCTGCCTGCCCAATCTGGCAACCCTGCCTGCCCAATCTGGCAACCCTGCCTGCCCAATCCGGCAACCCTGCCTGCCCAATCTGGCAACCCTGCCTGCCCAATCTGGCAACCCTGCCCTGTTCTTCCAAATAATGGAGGGAATCACCATGGCAACTGCTGACTCAGCATTTTCCTTGTTGAACTGATCTGGATTCTTTGATATTTTTTTTTCGTCTGTATTTTTTCTCAGGAAATCAGAAAATTTTCTGAATCCTCAATCAAAAAATAAAAAACACAATCAGTGACAGTTTTTTTCTTCACCATTTAAAAAGCTGAATATTTAAACTTTATTTTTGCTCCTTCAAAGACTCGCTGATTAATTAATTAACTAATTAATTAATTGAAAGGTGTGTTTGTGGGGGTTTAAAAGTGCTCCAAGCAGAAAACATGATGCTTCTTTCTGTTCCAGGTTTTTCAATTTATTTACTTAATTTGACTTTAAAACAACCTGGAAAAATAACCCACATCTCTGAGTGCGGAGCGGGAATCCTCCAGAGGCCTTTCGGTTCAAATGGAGAAGAAAAGCAGAACCAGATCCAGTCCAACGGTGCAAAACGGCACCGTGGGACTGATGGGCTGCAGATCAGATGGCCGATGATTGACCGGCCAAACCGGGCGCTTTAATTTCCCGTTAAGGAGCCGCCGCGCGTCTCCACAGAGGCTCTGCCAGCCGCCGGGCTTCTGATGCTGGCTGCTGGTTTGAATCCCAGCCCAGCATCGGTTAAGGCTGAAGAGGAAAAACAGAAACAGAAATGAAAAGGGACAGAAAGGAAAAAATGTCTCCTCTCTTCAATCGACAAAAAGGCACTTAGATCAAGTTTTATGGAGTGAAGAAAGGCTCAAAATTTAGGTGGTTAATTCAAATGAAGCTTCTATAATCGAGCTAATATTTGTTAATGAGAAAACTGAGGTCCATAAATGTGGAAACAATCAGACAAATGGAAATGATGAGAAGCAATCAATGAGTGAGAAATAAAAAATCTTTAATCATTCAAGTCATTTATTTAACTAAATTCACTATAAACAGTTTTTTAGGGAAAAGTTTTAGATTATATTATTTTATAAAATATATGTTTTACATATTTGTTGAAAACTGTCACCATGTCATGACATAATCTGTGAAAAAAAATTAGCCACTCTGCTTTCTATTGCTAACTTGAAACAACCAATCAGAGCTAGGGGGCGGGGCTTAATGTTGTTGTTTACGCTCCGTCTCTGCCATGTTACAGTTAGCAGAGCCTGTTGTGAATGCTAAGGCTAGTTAGCCAAACAGCTAACTTGTTTTAGCTGATTGACTAAAATCAGTCAATTTTACTCAAGACTAAACTAGCATATCAGTGCTAACATGTAGCAGCATAGATGCTAATGCTAATGTTAGTCTCCACAAAGGAGTTTCTGGAAGCTGAATTTCTAACATTTTTCTCCAATGTGATGTTTGAATATCAGATTATAAACAATAAATATATTTTCTGTTGAGTTAACATGTTTATTTATTCAACAACTTAGCAGCAAAAATGATTTTTGAACTGAAGATGTTGCTTATGTGTCAACACATAGTTATAATTTATCATTAAAATGTGATGATTAATCACAATTAAGTTGATAAAAAAAATTTTATCAAGTCTCACCACAAGTTTGAACAAATAGATAAAATATATTGTATTTATAAAAGACGGCAGAAAAGTTGGATCATTTAAAATAAAAAAAACTGAAGGGGAAATCCTTTTTTTAATTTTTACATTCATGCTGTTGTTGGAAAGAGGGACAGATTCTCTCCCTGCAGCTCCAGGATAATTTGGTGGTGGAGGGATACGATACGACCGGGAGGGGATGCAGGTTGCATGTTAATTAAGCCGAATACTAATTGGACAGACAGAAAGGAGATGAAGAGCTGCTCCTCTTCCTCCTCTCTGCAGGAGTTCAGACTTTAATCAAACACGGATCAGCCGGAATATGATTTTTCAAATAAACGGAAAAATTATAAGCAAAGTAAATATTTAGCTTGAAGGAAAAATTTTTATCAACTTAGTTTATAAATTAAACAATTAGTTCTGAGTCAGATAGTTAACTCTGGGTTAGCTACAAAGCCAGTTACCTCAGAGCTAACTATATATTTAGTATTTAGCTTGCTAATAAATATATTTGGTAGCTAAATATGTAGTTAACATGCTAAATATTTACATTGAAACAAAGCTTATAATTTGAGGCAAAAACTTAATTTACAAACAAAACTTTTAGCTCTGACCTAAATATTTAGTTAGCTCTAGACTAGCTTAATATTTAAATATTTCTTAGATTTCTTATGAAATATTTACTCTAAAATTGTTTCAAAAATTTAGAGTTTTCTAGAAAATTTAAGAAAATCTCAAATTTTCTTTTTTCTTTTTTTTCTCGCAAAGTTTCGACTTTCAGAGCTCAGAAATTTCCCAAATATTTCTGAGTTTTGTTGGAAATTAACTCGTTTTTGACCCGATTGCACATCATTCACAGCTGACGAGGTTCGACCATCTTCACTTCCAAAATAATAAAGGCTGAAAAGAGATAAAAACAGGAAACAGACCATGAAGTGTTTTGAGTTGTGGCTCTTTAGACCCTGATGTTGCCATCGAGTTTTTCGGTTTCTTCCCAGAAAGAGTAAAAATAGAAACTGTGTCACTTTGAGACCTCATGAAGCTTCATCATGCCAGAATGACGAGGGAAACCTTCACTGCTGCTTCTCTGGCCTGAAAGATGCTAACACACAATTTAGTCTTATTTTCATATTAGCTGTAGAAGTCACTTTTCATAGAGTCATCAGGCGCTTGGCTCTGTGGAGCCGCATTTCTAATTGAGGAGCATCTTCAGTGTGACAGACGGTTAAACTGCCACTTCACGTCTCGCTGCTGGCAGAGCTAATGAGCAGCAAATCGGATCTTCAGGGCAGTTCTGGCTGCTGTTGACCGAGAGCAAATGATGAGGCTCACACTGCAGTTCTACATCGACTGAGATTTAAGAGAGAGAGAGGAGACAGAAACATGAAGATAAACACAGTTATGTCTTTGTAAACACAGAGGATGGATGGATGGATGGATGGATGGATGGATGGATGGATGGATGGATGGATGGATGGATGGATGGATGGATGGATGGATGGATGATGGATGATGGATGGATGGATGGATGATGGATGATGGATGGATGGATGATGGATGGATGGATGGATGGATGATGGATGGATGGATGGATGGATCGATGGATGAATGGATGGATGGATGGATGATGGATGGATGGATGGATGGATGGATGGATGGATGATGGATGGATGGATGGATGGATGGATGGATGGATGGATGGATGGATGGATGGATGATGGATGATGGATGGATGGATGGAAGGATGAATGGATGGATGGATGGATGAATGGATGGATGGATGGATGGATGGATGATGGATGGATGGATGGATGGATGGATGGATGATGGATGGATGGATGGATGGATGATGGATGGATGGATGGATGGATGGATGGATGATGGATGGATGGATGATGGATGGATGGATGATGGATGATGGATGGATGGATGGATGGATGGATGGATGGATGATGATGGGATGGATGGATGGATGGATGGATGGATGGATGATGGATGGATGGATGATGGATGGATGGATGGATGATGGATGATGGATGGATGATGGATGGATGGATGGATGGATGATGGATGGATGGATGGATGGATGGATGGATGGATGGATGATGGATGGATGGATGATGGATGGATGGATGATGGATGGATGGATGGATGGATGGATGGATGGATGGATGATGGATGGATGGATGATGGATGGATGGATGATGGATGATGGATGGATGGATGGATGGATGGATGGATGATGGATGGATGGATGATGGATGGATGGATGATGGATGATGGATGATGGATGGATGGATGGATGGATGGATGGATGGATGGATGATGATGGATGGATGATGGATGGATGGATGAATGGATGGATGGATGATGGATGGATGGAACCATCGTTCAGTTCAAATCTTCTCAGCTTCCTCTTCCTCAGTCTTCATCGCCTCTCAGCTCCGCTGGTTGTTGTTTCTGTTTCTCCTTCCTGTCATCATCATCATCATCATCATCATCTTGTCATTCTTCATGAGAAGCAGGCGAGAGCTGAGAAGTGAGAAATGCTGCAGGCAGAGAAACGTGGATCTCCATATTCAGTCCAAACTGCTGCCTGAGAGAATCATGAGAACGTCCATCAGATCCTGTTTCACTGTGAAGCATCTCAGTGTATTTTCATTTCTGTTTTATTCCCTGGTATTTAGAGTTGTATTAATCTGATGTGGTGCCCGTTCCTGTCAGGACTGCAGCAGGAATAGTTTGCTCTGATGCACAAAGTGTTGCTTTAATTAGAGAAGGCAACTGGAACAGTCAGACAGCAAATGAAGCCATGACCCATAATCATTCCTTGATTAAAGGCCAACTTTGGTGAGTTTACTAGAACGTCCATTACGTTCAGATGGCCTAATGGACGCCATCTGAACATTATTTTATCAGAAAGGCAGAGACAAATGTTTGTTCTGCAGTTCTTGTAAATAAATGATGAATTTTTCTTTTTGCATTCACACTGACTGATGTTTGGTTTCTCCCTCTGCAGAGATCTTCAATGAAAGTCATTCACTGTTAGGCAGCTAATTTGGGATTAGTAATCTGGTTTTGGAACCAGAGATTATAGTGTCTGTTTCAGGATCAGCCTTTTTAAATACATTTTAACATTTCTAGCCTGAGGGTTCTGGTTCTGTGTGGTCCGATTAATGCTGTTGTGCTCCTGACAGGTGTGCTGGTGGTGAACGTTACCTGGAGGAAGAGAACCTACGTGGGAACTCTGCTGGACTGCACCAAACACGACTGGGCTCCTCCAAGGTAAAACTGGACCGTCAGACGCGTGTGAAGCTCCGCCAGACGCCGATCGGCTGATACTGACATGTGAAGCTGATCTGATCCTCCGATCTTTTCTACCTCAGAAAAGGTCAAAAACCAGCCAATCCTCTTCAGTCTGACAGACCAACCCACCTGGTCATGTCTGCATGTTTGCATTTAACAGTTAGTTTTCTTGTTATACTTTGAAACATTTCAGAAAAAAAGAATAATTAGCAGTTTGGGTTGATCAGTAATCAGAGCTCGATCAGAAAACGCTGTCGGTGCTGCAGCTCTACTCCAAACTATGGAAACGTCTCATTTGCATTTCCGTTTTTTGTTCTTTTTTGTGACATTTTAAAAGTTCACACGACAATTGGATGGAAACATGGCTGCTGATTACAATCAGTTAATGAATGCGTTTGATTAGCAGCAGCTGGCTGCATCAAATGCAGACATAAGCAGGACTGACAGACTGAAACCTGTTCTCTCTGTTTCTGCACTTATAAAATCGTCCTGGTGGAGATAAACGATGACAAACAGTCCAGCCTGATCCGGGCTGTTAAACCGATGACCACTGCTCCGGTTCGCAGGACAAAAACTTGTTTTTTCTTTATTGCTGCAAAGATGATTAAAGTTGTCTCAGCGGGTTTCAGCCGCAGTTTGGTGATGAGCTTTTATAAAAACTCTCAGCTCTGCATCCAAACGTTTTATAAACTGAGAGCTGCTGAGTGGGAAACGTGACGCCGCCTCCCTCGCTCTCCTGAAACCTTTCAATTATTGCTCCTGTATGTAAGTGATAGTTGTCATGGCAATTACAGCTTAATCTCCAAAAGTGGGGACTAAATTGCTTTTTTCATTTCGACTCGTCTCTCGGCGGAGACCCAATGCATTTTCATAACGTAGTCCAGTGGAATAAAGCTCCTTTTTTTCTTGTTGATTCATTTTCTGAATTAAGTGAAAAAGATTAAATATAATCAGACAATCGTTGATAGAAAATGTGTTTCTGAATCACCGTCACTCTATTAAATAAAGACACAAAAGCAGGAATAATGGTTGAAATGTCAAATAAATAGCTGGAGGTTTCGCCAAGTATTTCAGCAGCAACTGTGCAAAAAACAACAACAACAAAAAAAAACATACAAACATCACAGGAAACCTGAGATGACTTCTTAAAATATCTAAACTCTGAATTTTCTCTGGATTATTAACACCATCCGGTTCTGGGGAAAAGTGCTGCGATGACTGCATTAAAGGGTCGTTATGGATGCAGAGCCGTGGCTCCAGCAGACAGGTTCCTGATATAAATAACAGCACGTATTGGAGTGTGGAAAAGCAGCGTTAAGATGCAAAGCGCAGCAGCAAACAGCATCAAAAGACTTCAAGGTAAAAGGGGAACGCCGTGTGAATACAAATCGACTGAAAGACGGAGATAATGGTGGATTTTACAGATTCTTTCATGTTTATCAAATAAAAACAGGCTTTGTGTAGAAAAAAAACTGTTTGTGGTGAACATCAGGGTGAAGTGGTTCACTTTGAGTTGAAATCTGATTTCAGCTCATTCTTGGTTAAAATATGAAGTGCCCTCCATTTGCAACTCAAATGCTCATCATTTTAAAATGTTCAGTCAACATTAAACCTGCCCAACTCCAAAAATATATCAATTTAAATGATGCTGCCGAGGACACCGACTGCTCTTCAAGACTTATCACTGTCATTCCTAATATTCTGGCCAGAAGCAGATCCTATTGCAAAACACTTGACTCTGAACATAAGACTTGTGCTTTTTGTGGCATTATTTGAATCACAATGTTGTTCTGGGATCTCTGTTTTACAGCACCACTACATAGTGACACTTGATTAACCAGTGACTGCAGATTCTAGACATTTTGCTGCTTTCTTTCTCTCTCCAGGTTTTGTGAGTCTCCTTGCAGTGATCCAGAATTCCCCGGCGGCCGCGGACGAGGGAAAAGGATGAGAATGGCCATGTCTGAGCGGCCCTGCATTGAGCCGTCCCATGGCTCTAAAGTCAGAGGTCTTCCACACCACCGGAGCCGAGGAGGCGGCGTAGCAGGATCCATCCACAGCAAAGGACGGAGGGGCAGCCTGAACCTCATCAACAGCAATGGCAGAGCACCTCCTTCCTTCTTCACGGTCGATGACGTTAAAGCCACCAACGTAACTTCCTCTATCCCTGCCGGGAAGCGAAAGAACAAACCACCAGCCGACTTGGACCTTAGTCTCGTTTCCTCGGACGACATTAAAAACGGGAATGGGAAGAGGATCCGAGCGAAATCCCGGAGTGCCCCTTCGACGCCTTTGGGCAAATCGGACCCATCTTTCATGGATCCAGGAGGAGGCTGTGCTTCCTCTCCTCCCCCTCCCATTCTCATCGACTGCCCACATCCAAACTGCACTAAACGCTACAAGCACATCAACGGCCTGCGCTACCACCAGACACACGCACACCTGGAGGCAGAGGAGCAGAGGAAGCCAGAGCTGGGTCCCTCAAAGGATGGGGACAGTGAGGATCGACTATCAGACTGTGAGGACAACATTAGCAACTTGTCGTATGAGCCCCCAGACAACAGCACAATCACTCACAGCTCCTCCAAGAAACCCACTCCTCTCTACAAGGTGACTACGGTGGGGTCACCTAAGAACAGACGGTTACTCCTCAGCACGGACCACAGTCCTTCCGCCAACTCCAAAACCAGAAGAACCTCACTCCTGAAAGACGGTCTGATTGATGACCTCAGCAATCTGCCTATCATTTCCAACATGACTGTGGTTTTGGAGAACTGCATGATCCCAGACAGAAGCACGTCTGTAGAGATGCCGAAACTGGAAGCAGAAGGACTGATTGATAAAAAGGGAGGAGCGTCTGATAAAGGTAAGAAAGCCAATGGGAAGGTGGAAAAACTGTCCAAGTCCAGGACTAACCGTCCAATCGCTCCAGCTCCAGCTCCGGCTCCACCGAAGCTGATTGCCATACCCAACACCACATATCCGACCAGCACAGCTGATGTTGCACCCCCACAGCAGTCGTCCCCAGTGGCTGCCATTGGCCTCCCTAGTAAAAACCTTTCCTTAAAACCCATTAAACCAAAGCTTAGCATCGTAGTGGAGCCAAACCTTGTCAAAGCCACAATGGTCACTTGCAAAGAGACCAGGAAAAAGGAAAAACGGAAGATAAAGGACAAACATAGCAAAGAACCAGCAAACAGAACTCCCAATGGTGACAGTACTGTGATCAAAGTGGAAGACGTCGGAATTGGACCTAAAGGTGCCATTAAGGAAATATCCGGAAGTCTTCTGAAGGAGCACCTTAGCAAACAGGACGTAATGAACGGACTCTCAGAGAGCCAGGAGAGCAGGATGGCCAGCATACGTGCAGAGGCTGATAAAGTCTACACTTTCACAGACAATGCCCCCAGTCCGTCTATCGGTGGTTCGTCGAGACTCGACTCAAGTCTCGTAGCAGACGGAGGCAGTAAGAACGACAGCCCTGCCTACTCCGATATCTCAGATGCCGGGGATGATGGAGGGTCTTCTGAGTGTCGCTCAGATGGACTCAGGTCCAAGTCCAGCTCCTCGTCTTCCTCTGAGGTGAGCTCCAATAGCAACTATGCTAACTCTAGTAAAACCCCTCCCACCGCTTTGAAGGAGCCCCAGTCCCCATACTACCATGGCTACGATCCCTACTACCTGCAAGGATACATGCAGCCAGACAGGCACAGCAGCGGAGCTGTTGCTTTCCATAAAAACTCTCCTCACGACAGCAAAGGGAAAGATAGGAAAGAGGACATTAAAGACGACGACAAAAATTCCTCCCACGACTTCTCCGATTCTAAGAAAGGTGACGGGCCTCCTCAGTCTCAGCTCCAGCTGGCGATGAGTCAGACCCAGACGGCTTTGGCCCAGTCCCTGTACTACGGCCAGTACTCCAGAGGTCTGTACATGGACCAGAAACTTTTACTGGCTTCCAAATGCTGTGACCAGACCCTCACTGCCAAGCAAAGAGGACAAGGGTTGAGGGACACTGATGATGTTAAACATATGGTTGGGGCCAGTGGGGCCTTGCTTGGTAAAGGCCCAGATGGTGCTAAAGGTTGCTGTGGCAAACCGGTTCTTTCCTATGTGGAGATGAGTGAAAGGGGAGAAAGGGGGCAGAGTCTGGGCGTAAAGGTGGTGCACAGTGGCATAGTGGACCAGCACCAGGTTTCAATGAAAGACTGTGATGACATCAAGTCACCCTCCTCTTCCTCCTCTTCTTCATCCCTCCACAATCCAAACAGTCAGACAGATCTGGACTCAAATGTTTCGTTTTCCAGTGTAAGTTTCTCCCTCTGTTTATAACCCGCCGCCGCCGCTGATGGTGTTGTTGGTGTGCTTTACTGACTGCTGTTGAGTGTCACAAAGAGATTAACCTCACATTGTGTACAATAGGTGCTAATATCAAGGACCATGTGGCTTCTGTGCTGCTATAGCTCTACTCTGATATACTACTTCATTTGTTTCCAATGCAAATGTCTTTTAACGTTTAGAGTGAGATTTATTGGAGGAAATGTGTTTTTTCCAACTTTAGCTGTAAAGGAACAAAAAGCTTGTGCAGTTTGCGTACCAGTGTCATCCCTTTAACCGAGCCGTGTTGAAGAGGTTGCTCGTTTTTCCTCCAAATTGCTCTAAACTCTTCACTTAATCATGTGTGAGACGCCACTCTCTGCCTCACATCTCACTGCTGAATGGCCGCCTGCTGTTGAAACGTCGTCATCCTTCATCAACATCTCATCCAGAGCCAATGATAGATGGTCTGTCTATGGCTCTGTTCACTCAACTACAGTGTTTCCTCTATAGTCATTCAGCAGCGGTGGGCCACCGTTGAGAGTAATTGTCAAATGAACAGATGAAAGTCATAAATTACCCTTCGCTTGTCCTTAAAAAGCACTAAAGAGACAATTTGCTGACGCTTAAATAGAACGGTATCTAAGTTTGGCCCTCGCACCTGGCAATGTAAGCAGCACCGAGACGTGGACTGAAGTCGAACTGACCCGAAAAATGGCTGCCACCCACCACTGTTAACAAAGAATTATAGGGGAAACACTGAACCAGCACCAACACTTGTCCCCATCAATCTAGTCCCCAGACGGCCCCGCCTGGGCGCACCGCCTCGCGCTCAGCAAATATTCAGAGCTTCAGAGTCAGCACGGGGAGAATGTCGAGGAGGGGGAAGCGGGCAGTGGGAAGGAGTGGGGCACTACCGTGGAGCCTGCTGGGGCCAAGATGACCTCAGGTGGCATAGATGCTAAAAAACCCAGAGCTCACGGGCTCCAGGACTTCCCGCCTGTCACTGACACGGAGGATTCAGACCGACAGGAAGGGCTGGAGGACCAGGACCAGGACCCCTCTGGAGGGCTGTCAGAGGAGCCTCACAATGCCAGGGCGGCAGTGTCTCCTCCCATGACCCCCCAGCAGCCCTACATCCAGTACCAGCACTCCTCCTACTCTCCCTACCTGGCGATGTGTGAGGGCAGCGGGGGCTCCTACAGGGGAGTGTCCCCAACGCTGGTCCACAACTACCCAGGTAACAGACAGACATCAGCTGCCTGCATATTTAGACTAAATGTACTCATAAATGCAGAAATGTAACATCCCTACGATATGAAGCCAAAGGGAAAATACCTGCATTTTATATAATGGCCAGCAGAGGGCAATGATTAATAATAATGCACAGCTTAAAGGGGCAGCATTATGTGTTTCCAGGCACATTTTATAGTCCGTTAAACTGACTTCCTAAATTACCGCCTCGAAACTGGGCTTCTTCCAGGTCCAGTGTTAAATGTTCATTATGATTTAAAATCTACTTGTATTGTTGCATCATTATGCCATTATCACTATGGTTTCAAATTAACAATATTATCATTTATCGCAATAACTTCTGGGGAAATTCATCGTGCAGCTATTTGTTATTGTGACAGGAATATTTGCTCCTGCTTTGTGTTTCCTTCTCCAGGTTTCCACTATCCTCTGTATGGAAAGACGGCAGGCAGGGAGGAGTCAGAGGTCACTCCGCCCGGCAGAGGAGAGCCGGCCAACAGCAAGCTGATCGGCGACTCTTCGTCCTCCTCCTCCTCTTCCTCCGTGGAGCTGCTGCAGCAGCCCAGCCATCATTTCCATGGAAAATCCCCAGCTGTGAGAAAACGCTCGCTTTCTTCACGGCCACACTCACACTGCGCCGCTCCTCTGATGTTTGTTTTTCCTTCACATATTGGATCTGATGGTTCCTCTGACAGAAACCCCCACAGCGCAGGATGAAAAGAAAGACAAACACGACAGGAAGCAGATGTTTTATCTGTTCTTGAAAAAGTTAATTCTGACTTCAAGCAATTAGACTGACATTTACTGCATAAACACCAGGCATTATTAAACATAAGCCTGGCACTAAGCATCTTTAATTTCAAACATAAACACCGAAGAGCCTCTGTACATATCCAGGGCAGCTGAAGTCCAGTCAAAAGTTCTCCCAACACGCTTAACTTGAAGATTTCTGGATTAATTTCACTTTTTTAAAAATTCTGTGGTTTTTATCAGAAATTATATAAAATATAAAGTTTGCACAAAGTAAAAATCATCAGACATGCAGAAGCAGTGATTATAAGCTAACAGCAAAGCTAACTGTTCGTTATTGCTAACTTTGCTAGCTCCCCTAAATAATTTTTTCTGGATATATTCTAAATTACTTGGTAGTTTTGTGAACTTTCAGTTGAATTAAGTTCTACGTATGTGTTAACGTTTTTTTATCCACTGTTAGAAATTCTTCAAATCGTTAGACATTCATGCTCTTATTTTGAAGTGTCTGTTTACGCATACATTCCGTTTCCTCTCTTCGTCTTCCCGCTCTTTGCGAGCAAAGACCATGTAAGCCCGCCCCCTGGCTCTGATTGGCTGTTTCTGACAGACCTGTGCATGAGATCAAATCAGCTCCGTTTTTCACTGATTGTCTTCCTCCTATCAAACAGTCACAAAATGGCGATACTTTGTTAAATTTTCAGCTTGTGAGCTCAGAAACGTTAACATTTGACCTAATGTGAATCAGAAAAGCCGGAACAAGCCGAGTGTTTGTCTGTTTTCTGCCCAGCCTGGTGAGAAGGGTTCGCCTGAGGAAGACAGAGACATCGATCGGGAGAGGAGCCACTTATCGTTTGCTCGACACCTCCACACACATCATCACACACACCTGGGCATGAGCTACAGCCTGATGTCCGGCCAGTTTGATATCTACCAAGGTACAGAGCTGCTGCTGCTGCTCCAGACCTGCTCACATGTTTTAACAATTCAAAAAGAGCTTTTATTAATAGATTAGTGACAGAAACACAGTTAGAAAAGCATCAAAATGTAAATGTGAACAAACTCTGTTCAGTGAAGACATTTCAGCTAATCTTGTCTGTTTATTTAAAAGTTGCTGTGTAATATTGTTTTTGAATCCAGTTTTGTTTAATTACAGAAATTAAGAAAACATCTAGTCTCTGTAAGGTGTGTGATTTGGAATCAAATGAATATCCTGATATTTATTGAGATCTGTGGCGATAACGATAAATATCATAATCTGTTTTAGTTATAAAACTTACAACAAAAATTTTAAAAATCACATACAAATTATGTGGAATGTATGAGTATGTGTGAAAACTTTTGTAGGTCGTTTTTGTATTTTAGCTGTTTCCCATTAGATTATAAATCTCAATGGTGAGAATGACATGGAAACACAATTATTCCTGTCACAGTGACAAATTTTACTGGGCGACAAATTATCCCAGAAGTTGTTGCGATGAACGATAAAATTGCTGTTTTGATATTATAATGACAATGGCACAATAATGCAAGAACAGATTCATTCTCAAAGATCAATAAACTGTGAATTATAATTTAACACTAGAACTGGAAAATGTTTTAAATAGCCCAAATAAATAAACAAAAAACATAAATAATAACTGATTGTTTTTGTGTGTTATGTTGTGCAGGTCTGAGCTCCAGGTCGCTGGTCTCCAGTCAGCAGGTGTCGGGTCATTCCTCAGCAGGTGAGACGGAAACTGAACCAGAAAAACTTCTCACTTCAATTCAAGCCATATTTACAAGACTGCACATGTTACATAACTATTCACCATTGTGTCAAAAAACTAAACAAAAAGCATTGCAGTGTCAAAACTGAAGAAAGCAACAAACACATTTCTATTTTTTCACATTTAAACCATGACAAAAGATGTGAATGGATCATTTTAAGATGAAACTGCTCTGCTTTTGCAAACAGAGTAAATAATGTTGAGAACTGTCGTAATCTAACTGTTAAACTTTTCTTCTTTAGAGAAAATCACCTTCTGAGTAAATGATCCTCCGTCTGCAGTGTTTTTTCTGTTGCTTTGTGTGAAAGCGTAAAACAATGCAGAGGGAACCTGCCAGGCAGTTTCAGAGCACAATGTGACAATTATGTAATCCTGCAAAGTCTGCAGTTACCTGGAAATGGTGGAGATGGAAGAGATTAGCTTCGTTTTCTCCCCATCCTAACTCACCAGATTGGATGCATTTGCCCCAAAGTTGCATCATCACATAAAAAATTTTTGTAAACAAAATATTTTCACCATATGTGTTGTATATTTTGTCGATATTTTACATTAAAACAGGATTAATTGCAGGCCCTACAATTATCTCGATTAATAAAAGCTCAACTGGGTTTTCTGAAGTATGTGTTTAAAATAACACACCCACATATAATTCAGTTTCTCTCTTTAATTACAAACTCTATTTCAATAATCTCGGTATTAAAATAAATCTAACACTTGGGAGACGCAATCAGAAGAGTAATTACCACAGCAGCTGCTGCAGTTCCAGAGAAAATGAGGAAAAAATGTACAATAATTTGGATGGTTTTGTCCTTCACCAGAAATTTTTTTTATACATTATATAAGTGTTTTAGAAACCATCTTTGTTTTTTCAGCCAGTTATAATAAATCAACAAGAAATTGTTACATTTAACTCAAATTGAAGTGTATTTTTGCTCTCTATCTGGCCAAGAAGTTGGTATCCAAGGCGTTTTCATGAATACCAAATATGTTTACTGTTGTAGATTATTATTGTTTTGTTTACAGATACTTCAGAATTCATTTCATTATTATTTCTGTTTTGTTTTTTTAATTTGGATATTTGATTTCAACTAAAAGTTTCAGTGTTAAGTTTAGAATTTAAAGTTTATTGATCTTTCAGAATCAGTTTTTTCTTCATTTTATTACTTAAAAATGATCTCAAAACAACATCATTGTTAATCGCGACAACAAATTTATCATCCGGTAAAATGTGTTATTTTGACAGGCCTACCCGCCTGAGCTTTTGCACTTTGATTCGAGGGTTATATGCATTTTCTCTTAAAGAACTGTTTGCTGTGTTATTATGTCAGATCAAGAGACTCTAAAGTCAGGATGAATAAGAGCAGAAATCCTCACAGCTTCATTGAGCGCATTTCTTCACTCCCAGAAGGTTTTTCCCGCTGAACATAACTCTGACTGGTTTCCCTCTGAAGTCAAGCAGAACGGAATGTTCCAAACACCTAAACATCTTTATTTTGACTCTTTTTTTGCTCCACAGACAATGAAGGGAAGAAGTAGAACCATGTGACTGCGTCTCACATGAGGGACGGCAGATTTATCAGACATCAATTCCTTGGTGTGGAATAAGCTTCGCCTCGCTGAGAGGCAGGGAACAAACAAACACAGAAACCTCTTTCATTTCGTACTGATGACATCCACCGGTTTTATAACAGAGGAGCAGATGAAGCGGCGGGGGACAGATCGCAGGGATGAGACTTTCTTTTTTTTCTGTTTTTAAAAAGCGGGACTTATTGTAAAAAGCGAGATGTCATCGAATTGAAATGTTGTGTATAAGATGACATCCTAGAGCCCTGTGCACTCAGCTTTACCTCTGCTGTTGTGTTTAACTTTATAAAATGCACATTTATTGTAGTGTAATATAATGACGATATGACTGAATGTAAAGGTAATAACTCAAACTCACTGTTCTTTTTTTTTTAAGCCCCATTGGGACAAAAACAGCATTAGGAAGCTAAAAGTGTATAATAATTGTTCTCATTCTGATTATTGAAGTGATCCTCCCTCCTTCATAGTGCTGACGCTACATTTGTATAACTAACCTGTACTAGAGTGTAACCATGTTGATTGTATTGTCTTTATGTGGGAGTAAAACCTTCACTTCGACCTACCCAGTGCCATTTACCAACCCCAGTGGTGTAAATATATTCTGTACAGATTTATGGCAGAGCACTAACATGCTCACTCTGTTGATCACCATGCAGGGGCAAAGCAGGCGCACCCAACAGGAAATAGAACCACCAGCCTGTTTATTTCCCTCATCAGCTCAGTTTCTCTTCCATATTTTTTGTTTCAAGCAAAACCTCATGTTTACACACATTTATTCACAATTACGTTTAGATGAAAAAGCATTTAATCTGAAAGAAAAATCAATTTTGTACTGAATTATCAAAACATCAGATATCAAATTTAGGTTGTTTTTTTAAATTGTGCTTTGATACATTGTAGTCCAAATTTAAGCTAACCTCATGAAAGGTTTCAACTACTAGCCTGAGTGCTAGCTGTTCTTGCTAATATGTCATGGATGTAATGATTTTTGCTGAAATAAATATGTTAGTTCAACAGGAAGCTAAAGGAACAACATATTTGTTGTAACCTAAATTAAAACGACGTCAGCAATATTTTTAGGAGATGTTGGGCTGGGTTGTTTCAAAATCTAAAGGTCCCACTGGCACCTGTTAGCATAGCTGGTAGCATGTTAGCTGTGCGATTTTTTTGGCTACAACATAAAAAATATGTTTAAATAATAATAGAAACTATACATTTTATTCATCATATTTATTTAAATGTTTGTTTTTCTGTTAGTGACACTGAACAAAACAAAGGGAGTAACTAGATTTGGCTAGCTATTAGCTTTCAAGCCAAAGGTGTAAGCTAACACCATTACTTTAGACTCTTATGTATATTTTCAGAGGAACATTTAAATTTTATAGGAGGTCGACAGTTTGATATTTAGGTGTTTTCTGCAGCTAAAACTAACCATGAAAGGAAAATATCAATGGCTAATTAAAGCTAGTTATGCTACATACAGTTTATTAGGCATAACAATACAGATTACCAGGTGCTAATTAAGGTTACATATTATTTCTCTTTGATTTAAACACAACACCATTATTTCAACTAAATAAATAAAAAACTAACATTTTGTGATCAGTGTTTTAAGAAATGTAATGTTTTGTGATAAATGTTACAAAAATAATTACATTTAATTAATTCAGTTAGATTCAGTTTACACAGTGCCAAATTCCAATAAATATTGTCTTATGGTACTTTATATAAAAACCAACAGGCGCAATTCAAATCTAATTACTTTTATCTCAGTTGCACTTTTGTTCATGTTTGTTTCAAAACAATTCTGTTCTAAAAAGTCAGATTGCCATTTTTATTAATTATTCAACTTTTTTCAGCATCAGTAATTTTAAATGATGATGATAATAAAGTTAGATCAGATGGATCAAGATTGTTCTTCACAAGGCAGGAAACAGGAAGAGAAACATTTCCCATTATCAATTAAAACATAATTTGTAAACTATAAAATTCTAGTTTGTCTCAATTTCCAATTTCTTGATCTAAATCAGTTTTTGTTGTTTTCATTTCTTCCTGACATTGCATGCTGTGTTTTTAGTATCACTGATGTGGACAAAATGTAGCCCAAACATTAAGTTTTAACCTCAATATAAAGTTTATTAAGAAAATAAAATAAAAGTCAGTGTTAAACTGATATGTTTACAAACAGATCAGGGCATTTTTCTTTAGGTAAACTAGGAATTATTTTGACCAAAAACCAAAAATGTCACTTTGTTGTTTGTTACAAGTCAGAGTTTAATGCTTCAATATCTTGTTCCTATAAATGTGTAAATTGTTTGTTAGAACATTTACATGCAGCAGGGCTGTATTTTTCCAGCTCATGAAGAAGAGATTTTACAAACATCTTTATTTTGATTTTTTTTTTCTTGGTTGCAGCTTAACTTGAGCAGGTTTGGAGGTGTTTGATTTTCTTTACTTATTAAGTGATAATTAGCATGTAATAGAACATAATAACTAACTTAATATCCGATGATGGTAAATGGATGCACAAAGTAACTATGGTACACATTTGTGTCGTTAATGATTGTGGTGGATGTTTTGCCCATTTTCTACTCCCAGCAGAGCCTCTGATAAACACAATCAGTTTTTACCTCTGGTGTTGAAACACTGCCAAACCGTCCAGATCATTTTATCTGACCAAGATGGTCTACAATTATTTTGCTAAAAAGGCCTAAAAACATGGATGATCATAAATGTTGTCATTTAAAACACCTGGATCAAACTCTTTAACTATTTGGCCAGTCGCTGGTTTAAAACTCCAGCTGGATGACTGTAAACACGTCGGCTCGCTGACAGCTCTGTTTTTGCAGCACTTTGATCCTTGCGGATCTCCAAACTCGAGGGACATACCGAATGTTATTTTAAACTAACATTAAAAAAATTAAGTTCATGCAATTACAAACAGCAACAATGTAAAAACAGAAGAACAAGGCTGAGAACAAGCAGCCCGAAGCCCCAGCATTTCTATCAGCGGCCCTGCCTCACCAACACAACACCTTACCTTCATAGTTTCAGTGCTCATTTTATTACTTGAATTTAGCGCGATGGACTCTGTTTACAAACTTCAATCTACTTTTTGGAGACATTACTGTTGTCTCACAGTGTTCTGTTCAGTTCATCTGCCTGGTTTAACCAGTAAATAACGCTCAGAAACTGTATAAACATAAGTCCTGCTGTTGCTTTTTTATACTGTATATGCCTTAATTCATATGGTTGGCAATCATGATTAAAGGATGTTTATATATATTCTGGTTTGTATTTATTTTCTTCAAATTTAAGTATTTACACAACAAATTACACACTCAGAGGAAAATAATTTCATCTGTTTTAAATGTAGCAGCTTGAACAGAGATGAAACGGGAAAATTAAAGCTTTGCTTTTATGCTCAGCTCTTTCTTAACTGTTGTATTAAATACATATATTTTATACATGTAATAAAAAACAATACAAAACACAATGCAACAAAATATTCAGTAATGCCACAGATGCAGCACACATGTGTTGTATTTGTGGGGGGAAATATTTTTACTGTTATTTGAGTAATATTATTATGAATCTTTCCACTCCAACTTGTGTGGAATTTCTGCATTTCAAACATATTGTGACCAAAAAAATGCATCAGACACAAACCTATAATTTGTCAGTGTGAGAGTTCTTGTTTGTAGACAAGCTCTGTTTTTCTAATGTTATTTTTTTTGTACCATTTGGAGGTGAAAAGGATACAATAAATACGTATTTTAAATATATGCAACACCTACTGTAAATATGAATTTAATATGTTTTATCTTGAAAATATATGTATTTGATTTCTTTTGTTTTTGCCTGAGTTTGTTGTTTTGTAATTGTTTTTTTATTTTATTTTAGTCTTTTGAGAATAACTTTATATGAAGCAACTTCATATGATTTTGTCTTTTCGATGTAAAATATTAAACCAGGAGTTATGATCAGTGGCTGTATTTGAGTAGCATTTTTACGTTTTTTTATTGATTCAATGCGTGCAGTTCCGCCTCCAGCCGGCAGAGGCGCGGTGGAGCGCCTCCTTCATTTTCTCCGCTTTTAAAACAGGATGGGTGGCGCCAAAGCTTGACAACAAAGCGGCTGTTTGATGTCGTAACGGTCGGTGACGCTCTGTTTTTTAATTAGACACCAACTGTTAACAGTTAGCGCACGACAATTTAGCCCTAAATGAAACCGACGACGTGAAGTCGGAGTTTGTCACTTCGGCGTGTTTTTTCTCCGTGTTTGAAGCGGAGCTGATGTCAACATGGCTGCGAAGTCTGACCAACTTCTCATCGTTGTTTCCGTCCTGGAAGGTGAGCTGGTTCCACGGGATGGACGGGGACGAACTGCAGGGGTTTCAGTTTGTTTCACTGAGTTTAAATCGGTTAACAGGAGATATAGTGTCGCGGTAGCAGCTTAACTGACTGTTGGGTTCGGATGAACAGCTAGTTAAGGTGGGATGAACAGCTGGTTAAGGTGGGATGAACAGCAAGTTAATGTGGAATGAAGAGCTAGTTAAGGTTGGATTAACAGCTAGTTAAGGTGGGATGAACAGTTCACCGGTTGCTTCTACTTTTCCTGTTTCTGGTTACAGCAAATATATTAAAACTGCTGGAATTTATGAATTAGCCAGGAACGTGTAAACATTCCTGTTAGCCGGCATTTATAGCTGCCATAATTAAAATGTTTTATTTATCTTAGAATAAACCTTTTATTTGGGAAAGTCAGTATTTCAGCAGAACACAGATGGACAGAGATATACAGGAGTATGACTCATTGGAATAGTAAAGTATTCAGCCCATTGGAGGTTTTACTCTGATTGTTTTTACAAATTAGTCATGATAAACAAAATTTTGCTTTTTGACAGAGAAATAAAAAACAGCCATGATATAATACGTTCACAGATAAAAACTTCATGCTGTTTTCAAAGAAATCAGCTGTTACTTAATAATTTTTCAGATATTTGAATGTCACTTATGTCAATAAAAATTCAGAAATATTAATGCAACTCGGCTAATTTGGGTATGTAGTTTTTAGTACAGTAAACTCATTCAAAATAAATTACTAAAGGCAGTTTTCCTCCATCCTAACCAAACGGCCAGACAGAGACTTAAAGAGGAGCAGCAAAAGCCAAGAAGTGGATTAGCAGAGTTGGTGTCATCCAGGACATGTTACTGGAAATATCGGAGCTGTTAGCAAGTCAGCAGCAGTCAGATCCCATTAAAAAAATTGCAGTTGGACGTTGTTGGTCTTTACTGGTTCGTCTCTCGATATTCAGAATTATTACTGGAACTTTGAACTGAAGATGAGTGAAAAAGGTGCAGGAGCTTGAAGACATGTCCATCAGAATGCTAGGAATCATGAGGAAATGAATTTATGCTTAAATTAAACTGAACCAACTGTCGTCGTTTAGGTCGGCATTTTCCGAAGAGCCCTCGCCTCAGTCTGGTGGTCCAGGCGAGCTTCGACGGCGAACATCTGGAAACGGATCCAGTGGAGCATCGAGAGCAGCCGCAGTTCAGCACCGAGCTGGCCTGGGAACTGGACCGCAAGACGCTGCATCAGCACAGGTGTCCCTCTGCGTTGACCCTCTGTCCCTCCGCGTTGACCCTCTGTCCCTCTGCGTTGACCCTCTGTCCCTCTGCGTTGACCCTCTGTCCCTGCATGTTGACCCTCTGAACTTGCATGTTGACCCTCTGTCCCTCCGCGTTGACCCTCTGTCCCTCCGCGTTGACCCTCTGAACCTGCATGTTGACCCTCTGAACCTGCATGTTGACCCTCTGAACCTGCATGTTGACCCTCTGTCCCTGCATGTTGACCCTCTGTCCCTGCATGTTGACCCTCTGAACCTGCATGTTGACCCTCTGAACTTGCATGTTGACCCTCTGTCCCTCTGCGTTGACCCTGCTTGTTGACCCTCTGTCCCTCCAGGCTGCAGCGGACGCCCATCAAGCTGCAGTGCTTCACTCTGGACTCTGTCAGCAAGAAGAAGGAGTGCGTGGGCTACATCGTCTTGGACCTGCGGTCCGTCCATGATGCCAGGCAGGTAAAGCGGCCGCTGCAGGCCCGGCTAAGCGTGTTTCTGCCCCGTGATGACGAGGCTGCGCTGTGTTCCAGGATCCCCGCTGGTACACGCTGCTCAGCAGCAAATACACCAAGCAGAAGGCGGCACTGCTCGTCGGCACGCTGCTGGAGAACGACTCCAAGGCAGCAGCAGCTTCTCCTGACAAGATCCGGGCCAAGAAGGCGGCGCCTCGACAAGGTCTGCTGGTCTGGACCCGCTCTGCTTCATATGGGGCGTTTAGGACCCTGCAGATCCGGTTTGCTGTTGATTTATCTGCTGAAGCTCTGGAGCCAGAGAGCAGCTCATGATTATTTTAGTAATCCATTATCCTGACAATGAATCCATTGATCTGGGGGAAATAGACACATTCTGCACACTTTTCATTTCACCACTTCAGCTTTTTTATATACGATATTAGAATAACATAAAAAGATGCACATCAATAAAAAAATTAATAAAAAAATTTAATTGCCTGAAATTTTGAGTAGAACATACTTATAACGTTTTTTTTGTTTGTTTTTTCTTCTTTATTTTTTAATCTTAAATGCAAGAATTTGTTGTTCTAGCAGGAAACAGCCTGAGTTTGTATACTAAGTTAATTGTTTAGTAAACTGATGATTATTTATATTGATTAATCATGACTCATCTAGTTAAAACAAAAATGAAATGAAACCTTTTCTAGAGGCTGAGGATGAACAGAAATGATTTATTTTGGGTAAACAACTGTATTTTCATTAAATGTTAATGCTTAAACTGCACAGACATTAACTCAGTTTTATGACATCCTAGTGATTTAAATAATAAGTTTTCAGCCTTCATGTTTTTTTCATGACTGATCAGGAAACCAGAGACATTCAGCTGTTTCTAGACTTTGTCATCTTTTTGTCGTCAGGTTCTGTTGAGTATTTTCTAAGTTTATTCCTTTGGGTCATAAGTTAAACTTCTGGTCCTGTCTGAATAAAAACATGATGTTTATTGTGTCTGTGCTGCAGGTTCTGGCCCGGTGAGCGACGCGCTGCCCGCCAGGCTGGAGGCAGAGCTGATCCCGGATCAGGGCTACCATCAGGTCGGTCCGGCGGATCGCTGTGGCGACATGTTCGTCCTCTCCGTTACCGTCGCCTTCGCTACCAAACTGGAACAGGTGAAGAAATGCGTCAGCGTCCACAGCGATCGATCGACCGACCGCTCACTGGTTACATTTCATATAAAAATACATAAATAAATTCAGGAGTTTCAGGTATCAGGGCATTTAGAAACGATCTGATCTTTGATGTCAAACGCGACGGACTAACACGTCTGGTGTTTTTCTCAAACTGTTTCTGTCTCGGTGAAAAGACCTTAAATTAATAACTCTACAAATAAAACCTTCATCATTGTTAAAATCTTTCAGAAGTCTTAATAATGTTGATCAGTCTGCCAACAAACTGCAGGTGGTTTTATTTTTCACAAGCAGAAGAAGAAACACAAAAATGTTTCCCTTCATCTCTGGAAAGGTTTTCAAATCTTGAATCTTTTACACTGGACCTAAAACTCATGTTTTCTGTTCAAATTGTTACAAACTGACAGGTTTATATTTAAATTTGATCTTAGATTAAATTTTAAGATCAAACTTAATTTGATCTTAAATTTGATTCCAAGTGGTTTTAAAAAAGTCTTAAAGTTTTGAACTGATCTTCCTTTGAGCTGCAGAAGGGCTGGATTATATGTCTTAATAAAATTAGTTTTTATTTTCTTACCATCTTCTCTTAAAACTGACCCCGGTTGTTTTTCCTGCAGCTGATTCCCAGCAATAAGAAGCTTCCGGCGGACGACTCCAGTTTCTTCTTCTACTACTCCCTTCTGGGGAACGACATCACCAGCGAGCCGTTCCACAACCTGCTGAGTCCAGACTTCGAGCCGGAGCGCGCCTCCGTTCGCATCCGCAGCAACACGCAGGCGCTGCAGGCCTTCCTGACGCAGCAGTCCAGCCTACAGGTGAGCCGGCACCTCTGACCGAAGCGTCATGGCGGTGGCCGGTCCCGACGGCCGGTCCTGATGTCCGGTCCTGACGTCCGGCTGCGTCCGCAGGTCCACCTCTGCTGTGGGAACCGCTCTCTGGGCAGCAGCGACGTTTCGCTCTCCGCCCTCGCTGCCGCCGCCGCCGACCTGGAGGCCAAAGGCGCCACGGTGGAGGGAGCGTTCGTCCTGCAGCCGCCGCCGCGCAGCAAGCTGCCGGCTCTTCCTGCGGAGCTGCAGCCGACGGTGGGCGTGGCCGTCACCCTGAGGAGGGAGGAGCCAACGCCTCAGGTCGGAAAACGCCACAGCGCTTCAGGAAACTCCGAGTTAATGAGTTACAACAACATTTAATTTCCCTTTGGATCAATAAAGGACTTGAATTGCTGTGATGAGGCGTGGCATGTACCGGTACCGGCCCGATAAATAAAACTGGGCCGATATCAAGAAAATATTAATTAACACGAAACTACAAGGAATGATTTATAGTGCTGCAAAACAGCAGCTATAAAAAGCAATAAAACATTTAAAACATTAATTCAAAGTTTTGATTATTTAGTTTAGACTGACGCAGCAGTCTGTGCTACTGGTCAGCCGGCGCCTCTGACCGAAGCGTCATGGCGGCGGCCGGCCCTGATGTTCCACTGCGTTACTGTATATAGTTTTACTTTATATTCAAAAATCCCCCTGGATGTTTTACCCTTTTTATTACTTCTACAAATCAGACAGTAGCAACAAAATTTACATTTTTATTGGGGAAAAAAAATCTTTAGTTTCAAAGTGAACACTTCTTTTTTACAAAATAATTATGTAATAAGAATATTTAGCATAAAACTAGAAGAGTTTAGCAGAAAAATGAAGGAAAACTGATGTATCCAGGCAGACTCCCTGCTGGGACTGGAAGGACGTGAATATTTATACAGTCACTTATTTTAAAGTTAAATCATTTTGTCATTTCTTAGAAACCAGTTTTCAAGTTTTTTCTCAATTATTTGTCAAAAGTGTCTATTTTTTTCATAATTTATTGATGTAACAGTGAAAAACATCCAAGGGGTTGAATACTTTCTATGGAGCTCCTTAGAGTTTATTTATCTGTGTAACTTGTTAGCAGCCTGCCAGATTAATTGGTGTTTTTTAATTTAATCCTGGGATTAATTTATTATAGTCCTGTCTTCCTCTTGACGGCCACTAGAGGGCAGCAGAGTCAATGTTAGGCTGAATTTGGCAGAGAAACAGTTTTAAACTTTTATCTCTGTTGTCTGTTTGACCTTCATGAACATGCTGAAAGTATTTATGGTGAAATAGGGGAGAGTTCAAAGGTTAAGTTTTGTATTTAACTGGATATTTTAAATATTTTGTGTTTCTCAGGTTCCGGATCCCAGCAGAGCTCCGCCTCTCCCTCCTGCTGTCGCTTCGACCCAGAAACCTGCTGCTTCCCCTCCTTCGTTCCGTACGGAGAGCGAGGCCGAGAGTCTGCTGGAGTGCGACAGGAAGCTGGCGGCAGGTGATGAAGCTGATGCTCCTCTTCCTCACCCGGAAGACGGCGCGTCCTCCGTCAGTGTCTCCGCTCCCAAAGTGTCCATCCCCTCCTCCCCATCACTACTGCTTCTCTCTGGACCTGCGCAGCCTGGCCAAGCTCACCACGCCATACCCCATCGCCGCCATGCTCAGGTGGGCTCCCGGTCTGACCAGTACCTCCATCGATCCTGCTCCCAGTCTGACCAGTTTGGGTCGCTCTGCAGGTATTCGTACCAGTTCTTTGGCAGCTCGGCTCCCATCATGACCAGTCCGCCAGTGGAACTGCAGAGGAACATGGAGGTGTCGCTGCCGCAGTCCTACTGCGCCTTCGACTTCGCCGCGCTGCCGCAGCAGCTGCAGGACACCTTCCACAGGTAGGACGCCTGTACCCAGGTTGGACGCCTGTCCCGGGGTTGGACGCCTGTCCCCGGGTTGGGACGCCTGTCCCGGGGTTGGACGCCTGTCCCCGGGTTGGACGCCTGTCCTGGGGTTGGACGCCTGTCCCGGGGTTGGACGCCTGTCCCGGGGTTGGACGCCTGTCCCCGGGTTGGACGCCTGTCCCGGGGTTGGACGCCTGTCCCTGGGTTGGACGCCTGTCCCCGGGTTGGACGCCTGTTGCTAGCTGAACCCAGGCAGGTGCTTCCTGCATGTTGCCATTTGTAACGTACCTGGCGTTGCTGTTCCAGGGTTCCTCTGGTGGTGGAGCTGTGGGACCGCGGCTCGTCCAGCAGAGACCAGCTGCTGGGTTCGGCCTCCATCCAGCTGCACCAGCTGCTGAGCTCAGAGAAGATCCAGCTGAACTCGACGGGGGAACCGGGCTGGAGGCAGACCCACCAGGACCGGATCCCCGTGGTCCACCCGCAGCGGTAGGAACGCCTCCCACAGGCGGGTCGGCGGTCGCCTGGTGGTTACTAACGGCGGTGTGTCGGTCCTCCAGGCCCGCGGAGCGCGTAGCAGAGCTGAGCTTTGTGGCGACGCTGGAGGATCTGGGCTTCATCAAAGCTAAAGAGGTTCTGGTGTCGGATTCGATCCAGGTGGGTCCAGTTGGTTCTGAACCTGGTTCAGCATTAATAATTGATGATTATTTTAGTGATTGTTGATGCAGATTTAAGCTTTTTACAACATTAGAAATAAATTGCAGTATTTATAAAAATAGGACATTTTATTGTCTAAAACGCGATGACATCATCATGAAGCTGAAGCTAAAGCTAGAGGACTTCTGGACTTCTACAGACAAAATGTTTTATTGAACAGTTCTGCTTTGATTACTGCTCAGAAAATTCTGAATATGCTGAGAATATGCTATTTTCTGAAATTAAATAAAGAGGCCATTTAAAAAATGTCTGTCATTCGAGTCTGTATAAATTAATTAATGATTAATCAATTACTAAATTAGTTGACTTTTATTTAAATGATTATTTTTTTCCATCCCTGATCAGCTGAAGATTATAAATATAAAATTTTTAATCAATGAGGAACAAATGAGGAAGTTTATTGAACATGATATGAATGTAAAATAAAATCTGTTTGGTGTTTTTTATTTTTGTTGTCGTTGATTTCATTGCAGAGTTTCCATTCTTCTGATTCTGCATGTTTTCCTTTATTTTTCCTCATCGTGTCTCTAGGACGAATGTCCCGCCGTCCCCCAGTCTTCTCACCCAGCGGCGCCCAGACTGCCCCTGCTGCCGCCGGCCCCCCAGGGGCCCGGGGCCCCGCCAGCCCCCCAGGCTACCAGGGACACCCTGGAGTACCGCGCGGCCCTGGAGCTGGAGATGTGGAAGGAGGAGCAGGAGGATCTGTTCGACGATCAGGTAGAAGCAGAAGCGTTAGCTCTGTTAGCCACCAGCTGTCTTTTAGTGCTAACTAGAAACAACCAATCAGAGCCAGGAGGCGGGGCTTAGTGTTGTCAATCTTCCAGTATCCAAGGCCAAATGTTCAAATCGATGTTTCTCAGATATTTGCGCAGTAAGCAGCGCGTACATGATGTGATTGACAGCGCTAAGCTCCTCCTGGCTCTCATTGGTTGTTTTTGGATCATTTCTCCAGAGAGCAGATCAGATCAATCTTCTCAGATTATTTGTCTCATAGCAAACATTAACAACATGGTGACAGTTTTAGCCAATTTGAAAAAAAATATTTTTAATAAAAGTTACAAACTGCAGCTTTGTTGAAATTAATGTTAAATTTCCGAGCCGAATAAAAATATCTTAAAATCTGTCAACAAAATAATAAAGTTTATCTTTTCCTGTAAAACAGTTTTTCTGTTTATAGTTGTTATTGTTAAGGCAGAATTTGAGTTTGAGGCTGGAGCAGAAGAAGCTCAGTAAACAGGATCAGGACCGGTTCTGACCCGGTCAGGAGTTCTGGTTTAAAGATGGCGGCGGTTCTGTTTGCAGCTGAAGCAGAAGGAGCTGCGGCACATGCAGGCGCTGGCGGACGAGTGGAGGAAGAGGGACAGAGAGAGGGAGGCGCTGGTCAAGAAGAAGGTGAAGAGTTCATCTGATTCGGTTCTGAACCGGATCAGAACCAGATCTGAGCCGGTTCTGAACAGGTTCTGGTGGTTCTGCAGGAGCAGGAGTTCAACCTGCTGGAGGAGAAGCTGCAGAAGACGCTGTGTGACCTGGAGAAGAGGGAGAAGCAGCTGGCGGAGGCGGAGCTGCAGGTCAGACTGATCACATGTGATCAATACAGACTGAAAGTAATCGATCATTTTTAGATCATCTTCAGTGTTTCACTAAAATTTGTATGTTTTTTTCACTACTTTAAGGAAAGTGTCGGTATTTTTGTTTTGGTGGTTTTAATAACTTCCTGATTGTTGTTCAGTTTCTCCTGAGCCTCTTCAGGCGCTGCAGCTCCACCTAGTGGACAGAATGAGCCTCAACAGGCCAATAAACCACAGCCAAGAAAAACACATTTAAAATCAGATTTAACAATAAAAAATGTGTGTAATGAAACTGATGAAAATCTGCTTAGAGGTTCTGAGTCTGATCAGAACCAGATTCTGGTTTCATCAATCAGAATCTAAAACACTCTTTAGTAATTTATTGGACTGACACTTTTTACTGTAACTTGAGTAAAACCATGATGAAGTTTTTTCACTTAAGTTTTTGAATCTCTGACCTGGTTCTGTTTTCCTGCAGACTCAGCGTCTGCAGCGGGAGCTGAGAGCCGAACACGACCTGACCCAGAAGGAGCTGCAGGAGGCCAGCAGGCGGCTGCAGAGGGAGAGCGACCACCTGGTGGCGCTAGAGAGGGAGAAGGTCCGGCTGATGGAGGAGGAGCGCGGCCGGCTGCTGCAGCAGGTAGAGAGGAGGCGGTTCTGCCGGGTCCGTAACGGCCTGGGTCACCTGGTTAACGTTCTGGTTCTGGGTCCAGATGACGGACGCAGAGGCCCGGTACCAGCAGCTGCAGAAGGAGTTCCAGCTCTACAGGGAGCAGCAGAACCAGCGGCCCGAGTTCAGGCTGCAGGCAGAAGTCAACCTGCTGGCGCTGGAGAAGGTGAGCCGACCCGACCCGCTGACCTCTGGGGTCAGACCAGGACTGCAAATCATGGGGAATCATTCAGGTGTTTTTCCAGGTTTGGAAAGTCCTGAATTTGTGCTTAAAGTCCCTGGAAATGTTTGGATTTTATTACAAAACTGCAGATTGTAAATCAAACTAACTTTTGATTAAAAGACTAAATTTATGAATCATTATTTACAGTGTAAACCAGATGTTTTCATCCTCGACATAAAAACACAGACGCCTTGTTTTCCTCGCTGTCTGAAGTTAAATCAAACTAAAAGTCGGTCAGAATCACCTAAATTATTTCCTAAATGACAGAAAACATGTTTAGATTTGTTTGCTACTTTATTGTGTTTAAACTTTTAATATGAGCAAAATTTACTTCAACAGTCTGTCTGGATTGTTTCTGTGTGATGATTATTATTATTCCTAATCCCTCTGTGATTTATCGTCTGTTTTTTTAAACATTGCAGAAAGTTATTGAAAATGTTTTATGTTAAATTATGGTTTGGCTGTCAGACCGGTTAGTTCTCAGGTCTGTCTGACACGGAGTTGGAGCGAGACGTTCATCACAACATTATTAATAAGGCTAATAAATTATAGCAGTGGATAGAAACTGAATCTGTAGCTGCGTAACGTAAAAACAGCTGAAACCGATCCTCTCCATGGGCCTCAGGTTCTGCTGCTGCAGCTGAGGTTCTGCTGCTGCAGCAGCGGCTGAGGTTCTGCTGCTGCGGCGGCTGAGGTTCTGCTGCTGCAGTGGCTGAGGTTCTGCTGCAGCGGCTGAGGTTCTGCTGCTGCAGCGGCTGAGGTTCTGCTGCTGAGGTTCTGCGGCTGAGGTTCTGCTGCTGCAGCGGCTGAGGTTCTGACGGTTTGGTTGTGTGCAGGTGGAACTGGAGAGGAAGTTGGAGTCGACCACCAAGTCCAAGCTGCACTACAAGCAGCAGTGGGGCCGCGCGCTGAAGGAGCTGGCCCGGTTCAAACAGGTACCGCCATCAGGCCGGGCCGGAGGTTCTGGCTGGTTCTCCTCAAAGGTTAACCCGTATCCAAAGAGTCCGTTGGTAAACGGAGATTCCTGTAGTTCAGTGATGTCATCACTCGCAGGGCGGCCATCTTGTTTGACGAGCAGCAGATGGAATATCAGATTAATTTCTTATTATTACTGGATAAAGTTATAAAATCACAACAATTCAGCCGTCCAGCAAAATCTAAATAAAACAATAAAGTTTTATGTTGCAGGAATAAAGTCATAATATTAGTTGGAAAATGTGAAAATAAATGATAAACGTTGTGAAGTTACACTTTGGTTTCAGTTTTGCAGATGAGGAAATATTTTATTTTTGAATCCATAATGATAAATTATGAGCAGCAGAACTTTGTGTTTCTGATCTGATCAGTTTCTCTCAAGTTTAAACTGTTTTTCTGATCAATTTGTCTTTATTTTTGCTGATGTTGTGACTTTATTCCCATAGTTTTTGTCTCATCTTTATAATAATCTCTCCTCCTGCGAGGATCTTAAAAGGAGTTTTGGGTTTTCTGTGTTTCTCGTCCAGCTTTAGTAGATGGATTATTAGTCAGATGAACTAATAACTGTTGCTGACAGGAAGCAGCTGGAGAACCCGACCCACATCTTCCTCCTCCTCCTCATCATCTCCCTCCATTTTCTCACATCCTTCATCTCCCTCCCCTCGTTGTCGTCGTGGTTGCAGAGAAAAGTGATTGATGCGTCTTTAAGGGTTTCGTCGCCCCCTGCAGATCAATCTGAGGAGCGTCTCTGTTTACACGGCCGGTTCTGAACTCGTCTGTTTGGGTTTTTGTTCTCGCCTCCCGTTTCGCTCGGCGGATCATAAAAATTCCTGAGGAATGATGTTCTTTCCGCGCCGCGAGTCGAAGCCCAAACAGCGCCGAGGTGTTGGGTCAAAATATTGGGTCGGACCTGGAGTTGTTCTGTTCTGAGGGAAAATATTGGGACAGGCAGATGAAAGATGTGAGACTCTTTGCTAAATTTGGTGTTTTTAAGGCTGAGCGGAAGGTCGGCTGGTTTTAAAAGCTGCTTTATGCACAGAAACAGAAACAAAGATGTTTTCATTGTGAGAAAATGGAGATTGGGCCTCAGAGAAACCAAAAAAGGACAAAATGGAGCCGGTTTCTTCCTGCTTAACGAGGCGAAAATTCAGATTTCATTTTAAATTCAGAAGAAAACAGTTGAATGTGGGGTTCTGTGAGGAATCGATCAGCAGTCAGTATCCTAAGTATTACTACATTTCACAAAGTTTCAACATTTTTCGTTCAGTTTTGGAGCCTCAGTTCTTCACCAGATTTCTAGAAACTTTTATCCGTTTCTGAAACTTCAGGTTTGATTCCCGGTTGGAACGAAAAGCAAAACTTTTTGTCTTTGTTTTTTGCTTCCAAATAAGTAAATAACAGAAACGTCTTGGATGCTTCAACAAACTGTTTCCTGATTTTCACATTTTATTCACTCAAAACATTGAAGAATCTCAGTTTAAATTCAGCAGGAAGCGTTTATTCAGAAATGACCTGAATAAACTCATTTAATAAGTTAAAATGTTGCTGAGCTTTAAGGTTCTGACCCGTCTGGAATCGGACCTGCAAACATAAAACCCAAAATAAAAGCTCGTATTTCAAACGTGACTTTAATTGAGCCGTTTAGTTTTAAAAGCTTCAAATCGCTTTTCATCGGGTCAGAACCGCAAGAGTCTGGTCCGGTTCTGGTGCCTGTACCACCTGGTTCTGATCCGGTTCTCCTTGGCACACGAAATGTTCGGCCCGATTGTTTTCCCTGTAATTATCCAGGCAGCAAATGGACCAGAGAGAACCGGGCCGGGTCAGCATCGAGGCGCTGAGAACCAGGAGTTCTGCTGGTTTTCCCGTCCAGACCGGGTCAGCTGCAAACCCGATTGGGTCCCGGGCCCAATTGGACCTGGTCCGATTCAGAACCACCAAGGCCAGAAACTGGACACCAGAACATTTTCCATAAAACAAATTTTACCTGTGGGATTAAAATCTGATCCCACTAGTCCAATCGGATCAGAACCAGTAACTCCAGTTTTTATTCATTTGAATGAGAAAATTATTAAAAACTGTTAAAATAAAATCTTATGACTGATTTAACTGACAAATTAAGTCGATTTTTAAACTCAATCATCAGTTTCTGCTAATCGATTGAAATATTTCTGATTAATTGCAGATTTTGTTTTATAACAGAATATTTTACGTTTAAATTGTGAGCATTATTTTGGACAAATAAACTTGATGAGCCTTAAAACAAATATGACAGAAACGGTTCTGCAGAATAAAGCAGCCAGAGCTCATTATATTTACCGGGTCGGGTCCAACCCGACCAGAACTCTGAGGGGAACCATAAGGTTCTGGATTTATTTCTGGCTGTTTATGGATCATATGGAGTTAGAAATGAAACCCGGATCCTCCCGGTTCTGACCCGTTATCACCCGGTTCTGGTGCCAGATGCTCAGAACTTTGGTTTTTTCTGAGCGGTGAAAGTTTTCATTTTGTCAGAGTGAAACGGATTTATATCGTTTCTGCAGTTCTGACCCGTTGAGCCCAAACAGTTTGACCCGTCCTGATCGGATCTCAGCCTTTAGTTTCTAATTAGGCGCTGACGCCGCCGAGCCGCGTCAGCGCCGCGCCGCTCTGATTTACGGGTCGCCCTGACCTCAGCTCGGCGGTTCTGGTCAATCGGGCCGGGCGGCGGACAGAAATACGACTCTGGACGTTTTAGTGAAGTTTGTGGCTCACGGCGACGCGGTGGGTCTGCGGATCGGCTCCTCAGGGAGACTTTATGAAAACGTACAAGCGGACCAATTCATCACCGCCGCTCTGTGCTGCGCTCTAATTAAGGACAAACACAGAGCTGGCAGCAGAACTCAGCGCTGGGGTCAGAGGTCACAAGTCTGTTTGCTCATGATTTCAGTGGAGATCTGAAGAGCTGCCATGCTAACGGCCATGCTAACGTGTCTGTGCTCTCAGAGGGAGCAGGAGAACGCCATGGCGCGGCTGAAGAAGCAGCATGCGGAGCTGGAGGCCATGAGGCTCCGTTACCTAGCAACAGAGGAGAAGGAGGCGGTGAGGCAGGACCGCCAGGAGCTGGACGACATCAGGAACGAGCTCAACAGGTGAGGAAGACGTTTCAGTCTGGAGTGTCAAAGGTCAGGAGCTCAGTGTTCAGAACACTGCAGATAAAATAATTACTGTTGCTTCAGCACTTTAGCATTAGCAGGATTAGCGCTGTAGCATTAGCAGGATTAGCGCTGTAGCATTAGCAGGATTAGCGCTGTATCATTGACAGGATTAGCGCTGTAGCATTAGCGGGATTAGCGCTGTTGCATTGGCAGGATTAGCGCTGTAGCATTGGCAGAATCAGCGCTTTAGCATTAGCAGGATTAGCGCTGTAGCATCGACAGGATTAGCGCTTTAGCATTAGCAGGATTAGCGCTGTAGCATTGCCAGAATTAGCGCTTTAGCATTAGCGGGATTAGGGCTTTAGCATTAGCAGGATTAGCCCTGTAGCATTAGCGGGATTAGCGCTGTAGCATTAGCAGGATTAGCGCTGTAGCATTGGCAGAATCAACGCTTTAGCATTAGCAGGATTAGCGCTGTAGCATGGACAGGATTAGCGCTTTAGCATTAGCAGGATTAGCGCTTTAGTATTAGCAGGATTAGCGCTGTAGCATTGACCGAATTAGCGCTTTAGCATTAGCGGGATTAGGGCTTTAGCATTAGCAGGATTAGCGCTGTAGCATTGGCAGAATCAACGCTTTAGCATTAGCAGGATTAGCGCTGTAGCATGGACAGGATTAGCGCTTTAGCATTAGCGGATTAGCGCTTTAGTATTAGCAGGATTAGCGATGTAGCATTGACAGAATTAGCGCTTTAGCATTAGCGGGATTAGGGCTTTAGCATTAGCAGGATTAGCGCTGTAGCATTAGCAGGATTAGCGCTGTAGCATTAGCAGGATTAGCGCTGTAGCATTGGCAGAATCAGCGCTTTAGCATTAGCAGGATTAGCGCTGTAGCATCGACAGGATTAGCGCATTAGCATTAGCAGGATTAGCGCTGTAGCATTGACAGGATTAGCGCTTTAGCATTAGCGGGATTAGGGCTTTAGCATTAGCAGGATTAGCGCTGTAGCATTAGCAGGATTAGCGCTGTAGCATTGGCAGAATTAGCGCTGTAGCATTAGCCAAACTAACTTTATTTAGCAGAGCTGTAAGACAACCTGATGTAAACAGTTTTGTTCCAGGGCGTGATTCTAATGTTTCCGTCTCGTGCTCTACAGGCTGAAGAAGCAGGAAGAGGAGAAGTTAGGCCCCGCCCCCGCAGAGCCAGACTCCGCCCCCAGCCTGAACCTGAACGAGAGCGCAGAGGAACACCTGACCCGCCTGCTGGAGGAGAGAGACACGCTGCTGAGGACCGGCGTTTACACGCACGACGACCGCATCATCGCTGAGCTCAGCAGGCAGATACAGGAAGCCATGAAGGACAGGAAGCTCTGACGGCCAATCAGAGGCAACCGGCCGCCACACTGGCCAATCAGAGGAGGACGTTTAACCTGAGACCCATGGAGAGGAACTGATTCAGCTCCGCTGAGTTTACGTTACACAGAAATAAAACTGAAGTTTGTCGTTTTACAGCGTCTGATGCTGCTCTGCTCTTTCTGATTGGCCGATCACTGATCAGCTGGGATCAATATTCAGCTGATCAGAACCAGAGCGCCAGTGTTGAAGGTTTGATTCCTCGTCGACAAACAGCCGGTGAGGGTGAATGTTTTGGGCAAAAAACTTTTTTATTTTGCCATTTTCTAAGTCTGACTGTGTTTGTTTAATTTAATAATTTAAAATAGTTTTAATTATTAAATATTATTTTTTCTCATATGAAACTTGACCATTTTTATTATCGTTTTTATAAAAAACATAATTTTGAGAAAACGTCAAGGTAGAAAATAAGTTGATTATTTTCTTTCGAACGTAAAGAAAGTGAAATATTTTCTGATTTTTACAAATCTTATTTTTTAAATTACAGCAAAATGAAAACTTTAGAATGAAGTCACATTGTTATGACTATTAGTGCGTTATTCTCCCTTTATCGTCTTACTATTAGTTTATTCTTGTAAAGACTTTTTTCTTATAATTGTAATAAATTCATAAGTTTAAGTCCTGATGAGTAAAATTGATCGTCGCCTCGTTTCTCTGGCGCCATCAGCTGCCGTGAAAATACGTTTAAAAATATTTTATATTTATGTGAAACGGCAGAGAAGAGAAACATTCAGACTCAGAAAACGGATTCCCAAAACAACCACATGTTCATTTTGGCTTCCTGGGCTTCCGTAGAATCCGCTGACTGAGCGCAGCGGCGCAGAAACACGAATTAAAGTTGATTAAATGTTTTCTGATCTGATCTGCAGCAGCTCAAATGTATTCATACGGCTGAACCGATTCATGATGCGTTCAGGAGCTGAAAAACGATTGAAATCATCTCAGTTTCAGCATTTAGTAAAAACTGATGTCATTCTGGTCTAAATCATCATTTAGACGCTGAAACCTTCAGTTCTCTAGAAAAAGTCAAACTGGTTTCACTAACAGATCAAAACGGGTCAGAAAATCTGTTTTCACTAAAATGTCCAGTTTTCGGTTCTGAACTCGACGTTCAGCTGCGTCTGTTACACAAACATTAAAATCTTTCTTTATTTTGTAACTTTATTTTGAGACGTTTCTGCAGGTGGAATTTGATCGTTGGGCCGAATTAAAATCTGACGTTTCTCAGAAATCGATGTGATCATGTGACGTTAATGTGACTCAACATTTGAAACGTTTTTACTGAAATAATCGATGCCGGGACGTTTTCTGCCCCGGACAGCAGGGGGCGCTGCAGCCTCGTATAATTTAATTTATTGTTGTGTGTTTTTGTTTGGAATAAATTATTTTTGCATTAAAGATGTCAGCATGATGTTTTTTTACAGTCTATTAGTAGTTTCACAGGTTTAAATTGGTGTATTTTATATTTAATCTTTTCATTTTTCAGCCTAAATTAAAACTCCAGAAAAAATCAATTTTTGTTGCAGCTGCAGAATAACTTTAGTTTTTGTGTTAAACTGAAACAGGTTGATCAATAAATTCAGATACTTGAGGTGAATAAAACTTTTCATTAGTCTGAATATTTTATCAATACTGTTATTGATCTAGTATGACTTTGAAACTGATCACAAATGTTTTTGAATCTTCAAAGTTGCGTAATCAAAATACATGCAGGTAATTTCCTTTTTCTACATTTATTCCTCAATGATAAATGTTGCCTTTCTGAGTTTTGCTCATTTTCTTCCCTTTGGTGCTGAATGTCGCTAAAAAGCATCAAACCCAGGATGTTCTAACTTTATGGATCAGAAGATGCAGCAAACATTTTAAATTCAACACAATAAATCTAAAGAATAAACTCATAATTTGCGGTTTGACAGATTTTCTCACGGCTCAGTTTTCCCACGTTGCTTTTCCTTCAATGTGTTTCCAATTAGACCTGAAGAAAAACTCCAGAAGTTCAAGACTAATTGGATCTGAAAGTCAGCAGTCAGGAAGCAAACCATTAAAACCATCACTCCCATTAAACAGCTGCCCTGGTTTCCAGTTTCCTCTGAGTTTCTTCCTCTGCTTATAGAGCAGAACTGAGACAAATATTATTCTGGACTTTTTCTTTGTCACATTGAACAAATCTTGAGTAAATTTTGAGTTCAGTTCTGATGGGATCATATTTACACATTTTATCTAAACCAGGGAGTCCAAACGGTGGTGCAGGGGCCACAGGTGGTCCGTGAAATCACTTCGTTTGGCCTCCAACCAAAAGTCAGAGTTTGGCCAAGAAAACTGATAAAATAAGAAAATCTTGAAACCCTTTTCATATTGTGGATATTTAATGAATTAAAGATTTTATAAAAATGTTATTGATGAGCAGGTAAAGCTAAAATAAATTAAACAAAATATATAAATCACAGTAAAGTAAATTTTAGGTCTATAATAAGAAAAAATGTTCAAAATAAAATCAACAGAATAAAGTGGAAAAATAAAGTGTTGATGACTGACCTTATATTTCCCTTTATTTATTTTATTATTGGCTTTATTCTAAAACTCGGTAATGTTTGTATTTTTAATGCGTTTCGTGGTTTAAATTTGTCGTTTTTTTCCCCAGATGTTGAAATATTGTAAAATCTGATTATTGATGTTATTTTACAGCCTTTAATGAGTGACGATCAGCAGATCTGGAGTAGATCAGGAGGATCCAGCAGAAAAATGATCCACTCCACGTGGATCCATGCGGTTCCACGTGGATCCATGCGGTTCAGTCTTTCCTTCCTTTGTGTTTTCTTCCTCGTCCTTCAGCAGCTCCTCGGTTTGTTTTCCTTCTCGCTGCTGCTAATTAAAACTCACTGCTGTAATCTCATTACATGCAACCCGATCCGGCTCGTTAGAACCTGCAGGGAAGTCCTGAACCGGGTCGGTGTGTGACGGCTTGTTTGGGCTGCGGCTCCAGATCCGGTTCTCATGATGGATTTCCCGACGCGCCGGGATTTTATTTGTTCTGGGAATTTTTCTGGAATCCTCGCAGGAATAATCTGCAGATTGAGACGGGAAGGAGGCGCCGCGCCGCCAACTGGGATTAGGATTAAATGAGCTTTAAACCACAGCAATAAAAACATAAATGATGTTTAACATTGACTTAAAATTTACATCTATTCTTTTTATGCAGATTTTTACTCATTTTTGCTGCGTTGTAAATTCCTGGCTGAGAATTTTTTTGAAAGTTTTTTTTTTTTTTTACTTTCATTCATTTTTAAAAACCAAAAAAAAAAAAAAAATTTAAATCCTCCTCATTTTTTGTACCATTAATTTAAAATGCAGATTAATAATTAATCTGTTTTCATATCATGAAAATCACTGAATTTCCATATGAACATATGAGAAATTTGACCCAGATAAAATCAATAATTCTCATTTATCAGATATAAATTTTTCTGTTTTTTTTTCTTTCAAACCTTCAGAAAAAAATATTTTAATCCTTAAAACTGGCATTAAAGAGTTAAAATTAATGTTTTATGTTTTTTTAAATAAATGTACAGATGTTAATAAACTTTAAAACATTTTTGTGTCCAAGTTACATCTTCATGAAAAACAAAAGAATAAATATGAAACTAAATAAATCCTTTGCTGTTTTCTTCAAATAAACGTTTCTGTCCTGTTTGGAGAGGAAACATTTTGAAAATTGTTCAAATTTACAACAAACATTCCTCGTAAAAAGAGTTGAAACGGAAACGATAATAAAAGAGTTTGGTGGATTTAGTTTGTCATGTTTTAATTTATGAAACCAGGAAATGTCAACATGAACCTTTTATTTCATTTCTGCTTTTTTCTGTGGATCCTAAATGATCATTTCTGATCATTTAGGATCAGAAACTCTTTATAGTGAAAATATTGAAAATAAAAAACAGAAGGAAAAAGTCTGAATGTTGCAGCTCAGAATCAAAAGCGGATCTCAGTTTTATTTCCAACGGATCAAAGTTACTTTGATTCATGACGTTTGTTACAAAACCAAACCAAAAGGAAAGTCATGCAGATCAACAGGAAGCAGAACCTGAACTCAACTGGATCTTTGGTTCATATTTAGAAATCACTGATTTGATTTTTCAAACTGACTTCAGATCCTCTGGATCCAAACAGGAAGTGGATCCAAACAGGAAGTGGATCTGATGAGTCATATAAAACCTGTTCACATCCAGCATGGGCTCAGTCTGCACCGTGAAAACAGAGATGCTTCACTCAGGAGGGAGGAGTTCCTCAGGGCTCAGAGTCCGGCCTGCTGACAGAATGAATCAGCCGGGTTCTGAAGAGGGAGTCGCTCCAGTCGGGCCGGTCCGGTAGAACCAACATTTTGATAAAATGCTGAGTCACTTTAGCCGTTCATCCAGAATCTGTCTGTGACGTGGACGATTAGTCGGCACTTTGTGCTGGTGTTGTCAATCTAAACCTTTTTTATTCCGTTCAGTTTCCCGTCCTCAGTGAAACATCCCTTTGTGCTGATTCTGGTTTCTTTGGATCGGAGCCGATTTAAAGCTTTTAACTCTCAGGCACAACGACTGCTTCACTTCAACCCTCAGAGCTGGAAGACAAAGCGGATCTTCATCGTCTGAGGCTCAAATCAACTCCAGAGGAAGGAAGGTGAGTTGAAAACATTGGTTTCCTTCAGAGGAGATTTAGAAAACAGGAAGTAGAAACATTGAATGTGACGATGATTGAAGTCATGCTTCATATTAACTCTGGGATCATTTCTATAAGAAATCCCTCTGTACATTTATCAACATCAGAGCTGCACATATTAACTTAACGTTTCAAAATAAAAGGTGCTTGCAGCACGATATGAGCAGAAGATAAATAGAATATGTTTCTCTCTTTTCTGGTTCTGCAGTCGCTGCTGTTTGGGCCGTAAACGGGTCGGTGAGCCTCTCTGTGCGTCACCTGGAGGAAAAGCTGCAGGAAGACAATCAGACGCTTTATTTGGATTTTCACGAGGTTTTCTTTGGGACGAAGCAAGGTGGCATTCCCAGAAGTCGGAACGCTGCGACCGCTCGGATCTTTGGTTTGGTGGAGTCGAGGTTTTCACTCCGATTCTCTGAACCCGGATCTGGTTTTGGATCGGCTGATTTCTGCCGGGATTTTACATTTCAGTAACCAGGGATGAACGTTGGTGGAGTCCAGAACGGGGAACGTTCTGGACTCCACCGGAACGCCGCAGCACATCGCCGCAGCAGATCACTGCAGTGGGATGTGGACGGATGGATGGATGGTGAGGCGGCGGGCAGCCAGAGGTCAGAGGTTAATCCACCTCGATGGACTCGGTGCTGTCGTTGACCGGTTTGCACTCGTTGGGGAGTCGCTGGTGGCGGCTGAGCTGCGTCGCCTGCGTGAAGCTGCGGTCGCATCGCTCACACCTGACGGACACAAAGAGGACAGAGCAAAACTTTCACACTCCTGACTTCAGCAGCGACAAAAATGACTGATAAAAAACTAAAGTTCATAAAATCAGTTAGAAGAAATAAAAACATTCAGCTTCAATATGGAGAGAAAAAAGTCGAGATAAACACAAAACTCAATTAGAAACTTTAAATTAATCAGAATAAAAAAAACTGGTCAGAAAACTATTGAAAACTAAATCTGAAGGAAAATGTTAAAAAAACGTTAAAAAACCACAGGAAGGTCGTTTCTTTTCAGTGAAAATACAAAATAAGAACCAGATTATTTTATTGGTCGTCATGTAAACAGAGATAAAAATATTCACTAAATACGTTCAACTGAATTCATAAATACTTTATTTATCATAAAGCAAATTAAAAGTAACTCAAAGAGTCGCTATGGATGAAGAATCTGCTGTAGCAGTCTGTACCGCAGCGACTCGTGAGAGGCCTCTGACTGACTGATTCAGCTCTAAAGATCAAAAGGTCATGAACTGAATCAACAAAAAGGGCCAATCAGAACCATTCAGATATGATGTCATCAAAACATCTGAGTGAATATTCACATGATAACTGCTGCGGCTTCATCCACGTTATAAAGTTTGACTTTTCTCAGTCTCAGAGCAGCAGATGCTCACACTCATGACATTACCCAAAAGGTTAAAGGTCACAGAGTGACGGATCCTGCAGCAGAAACTAAAACCTGCAAAAAGCTGAAAATGTGAAGCTGAAACACTAAAAAGTTTGTTTTCAGGAGGATCTGCTGCTAAACTGCAGAGATACAACCTTTAGTTTTGCTAACACACACACACACACACACACACACACACACACACACACACACACACACACACACACACACACACACACACACACACACACACACACCCAGGTTAACTCTAATGTCCAGCGACAGAACAAAGTGTGTGTGAGGCCCAGTGGAGCAGCAACTGTAATTGTTGCCCTGATCTTCGCAACCTGACCGACAAATTACACTCACACTCCACCTGTCAATAATCTATCCAGTGGGCCGTGGAGGGCATTCCCGTCTCACACACTTTAACACACTCTGACACACACACACACACACACACACACACACACACACACACACACACACACACACACACACACTTGCAGATAAATCCCGGCCTGATAAGGCAGCATCACTGTCACTTTCAATAGCAGCAGAGAAGAGAAGGAGCTTTTAGTCTGAGCTGGAGGAGCGGCGGGAGCATTTAAATGGATATCAAGGTGTGTGTGTGTGTGTGTGTGTGTGTGTGTGTGTGTGTGTGTGTGTGTGTGTGTGTGTGGAGGGATCAAAGAGAACGCTGAGCAGAAATATTGGAGCTAACGGGGCAGAAACAGGACTAACATGCTGTGAGACAGACAGGAGGAAGAGGACGAGGTGATGAAGAGCAGAGCTCAGCTTCAGGAAAATCCTCCAAAAATCCTCAAAAGTTTGATTCGTGTTTCAGGCCGAGCTGCTCAGAAACATCCAACCGTCCATCAGACTGGGAGCGAGTCCGTCTGTCCGTCCACAACTGGATTTTATTCTGTTTCTATTGGACTATAACAAAACCTGTGGGTGACAAGCTCTGCTCCCATTGGACAGGAATGATGTGGGCGGGTCCGAGCGCAGGACACAAACATGGAGGACACAAACAAACAAACATGGAGGAAACAAACAAACATGGAGGAAACAAACAAACATAGAGGAAACAAACAAACACAGAGGAAACAAACAAACATAGAGGAAACAAACAAACATGGAGGAAACAAACAAACATGGAGGAAACAAACAAACATGGAGGAAACAAACAAACATGGAGGAAACAAACAAACATGGAGGAAACAAACAAACATGGAGGAAACAAACAAACATGGAGGAAACAAACAAACATGGAGGAAACAAACAAACATGGAGGAAACAAACAAACATGGAGGAAACAAACAAACATGGAGGAAACAAACAAACATGGAGGTCCTCCTTCACCATGCTGCTCAGATACGGAGGCCTATAAAGTCCAAAAAGATGCTGGTTTCACGAAGTTGGTTCAAATTAAGGCTGGTCTGTATTCACACCAGAACCGGACCGAGACCAGCTCAGAAATGGGTTTGGATCTGGTACTTTGAGTGGAGAAAAGGTCCAAACTCTGAACCGAATGGATTCAGGTTTTCACTTCAAATGTTTTCAGACAAAATAATCAGTTTATCACTTTCTGCCCGACAGGTTAAACTTTTGGACCGAGGTTCTTTTGGACCGGGGTTCTGAGTATGGACTACAGATCATATTGTGTTGATGGTTATAAAAGCTGAACTGGTTAAAGTAAAAACCTGGTTCTGAAGAAACGGGTCTCCAGCTGAACTCGCCTTGCGCGTTTGTCTGATTTCATCTGTCGCTGCTGCTTTGATCCAGCAGGACGAACATGAAGACGGTTCTGCAGAACAAAGCGGGCCTGAAAGCGGGCCTGAAAGCGGGCCTGAAAGCGGGCGGCTCCGTCTGCAGCCTATCGACCGGCTGCTGCTGAGCAGCAGGGAAAAATAAAGTTGAGACGTTTGTCCTGACAGCCTGACAGACGAGGCTTTAATCAGGATCCTTCAGGATCAGTGGAGTTTAAGATCCGCTCTTATCTTCATCTGAGCTCTGATGGGAGGAAACGAGACAAACCGATTCTGACACGGCAGAGAATGAATCCATGAAACTCCCTGAACCTCCACCGAAACCCGACCGGTCCACTTCACTGACAGCATGAATGGAAACCAACAGATTCTTTTTGGAGGTAAATCAGATAAAGTCAGGAATTCTGGGACAAAAACTCATTTGTGTTTCATTTCTCCTGGTTCTGCTGCGTTCGGTCCGCTCTGGTCCAATAAGTTCTGTTGTTGCTGTTTGAACGTCAATCGGACTCGGGTCTGAACCTCCGTCTGGGTTCTGCTGAACTCTGGTTCGGGTCCAAACAGACCTGAGACCAAACGCAGGGAGCGGACCGCAGCGCAGTGCATTCTGGGTAAAAACAACCACCAGCTAGCTTAGCGCTAACAGGAGAAATTGTTTTACCAAAGACTAAAGTGTGGTTGTTGGTGCAGCGCCCCCACAGGCCAGGAGGGGAACAGGTTGCTGAAAGGGAACCAACAGAACCGATCCAACTGGACCATCGTCCTGCATCTCTGGTTGTTGCTCTTTGCAGAAAGTGAAATGATCTGGTTGAGAACCAGATGCCATCACTGAAACCATTTTATCCTGAAAATAAATGTTTGTAGGAAATCAGTGATTCGGTGATATCTGAGGTTCGTTTTAAATCTGGAGCAGAAAGTCAGAAACCAGCATCAGGATGTGAAAGCGTCTCTGTGGGAAGATAAAGTCGAGCGTTTTCCTCCTGACAAAGTGACAGTGGCAGCTTTAATCTGTCTGAAAGGCGATAACTCTCGCAGGCCATCGATCCAGTAAGGATTTGTGACGACCGTCGGTGATTGTCTTTGTCCCGGCCGCGCCTTCAGAGACTCTGAAGTGCTGATGAACAGGTTCGGCTCATTAGGAACGCTGATTTGCTTTCAGTCGCTCCACTTTTCACTCCCTGATCTTTTGTTCCTCCTCGAACTTCCTCCGACATTCATTTCATCCGTCGCCCTCATGCTCTTCACGTCGATGACAGAGTGGCTTCGCTAATTGCTTTTTAAGAATGTTAATTGTTTTCCACAGATCTCCCCTCTGGATCTGCCCTCTGCTCCAGCCTGTAATCCTGTTCTCTTTATCTCCTCTGGCTCTCGCTCTGCCTGCATGTCCACCTCTTCGTCCACTGGGGGAACGCCGCTCGCCTCCCTCGGCTGACTGGATGACAGCCGACAGCAGAGCTTCTCCTTCTAATGGTTTCCATCTTCAGCGAGAGGAAAATATGGAAATGAGGCAGATTAGGAAAGGAAACATGACTGGGACTGAGCAGCAGGTCTTCACGCTCAGTTCTGATGTTTGTTTTCTGAAATCTGATTCTTTTTTGCATCCTACTAGTTAAATGCAACACAATCAGATTCTGCACAAACGACCCCAAAGCGACGTCACGCAGCGATAAGCAGGTCAGATCTTAGAGTTTTTAATTCCCTGGTGAAACAACAGAGGAAACAGAAACTATAAGTGAATTTCTCAGCTGCTGTGGTTGATGTAAACCAATGCACTTGTGGAGAATTAATTTTTAAGATGCATTTTCATGCTTTTCATGTTTATAGTTGCAGATAATCCTGAATTAAAATGTTTCTGTCTTTTAATAAAATCCGAGCAAAGACAAACAGCTGCTCTGGCTGAACATAGTGGATGGGTTTTAACAGAACCACCAGATCAGAACCAGACGTTTCAAAGTTTCGCCCCCTGTGGAGACACGGTGCGTTTCAACAGCTGCAAACACATTTATTGCATTTGCACAATTTTGTCTTTCAGAAATAACTTTGCTTAGAGGAAGAACGACAAGCTTTGAAAACCCTCAGTGTCCAATAATGAGTTAGATTGAGGTGAAAAATGTCAGTGTTTCGCAAACTGCAATGGAAACACGTTTTAGCTTCATGCCAGTTTGGATCTCAGTGATTTCCAGATATAAAACATTAGGATGTTTTTCCTCCTGATGGTCCGGTAGACCCGGTTCTACCAGAACCAAAACTTCACCATCTGCTCTGAGTCGAACCAACCAAACCCTTTGAGCAACCAGTTCCCCTCCTGGCCTGTGGGGGCGCTGCACAGTGCAGGTATGGGCTTCAGCGAGAGCGAGGCGTGGAGCTGAGGGTTGGTACTCACTGTTACTTACTTGAACGGCTTCTCTCCGGTGTGCGTCCGGATGTGGTTGTTGAGGGTGGTGGCGCCGGCGAAGGCGCGGCCGCAGTATCCGCACTTGAAGGGCCGGTCGCTGGAGTGCGTCACCACGTGGTTCCTCAGCTCCGACGGCTGCGAGAAGGACTGGGAGCAGTGGCCACACTGGTACGGCCTGGAGCGGAGGAGACACTTTAAAACAATCAGCAACCAGGAAGGTTTTCACAGATACACAGAACCACAAACAGAACCACAAACAGAACCACAAACAGAACCACAAGAACCCGAACCGTCCAGGGATCAGTCTGGGCTTCTCTCAGGTTTTCCAATGTTTCAATCTGTTTTTTTCTCTCATTTCTCATCTAAAACTTGTTTCTGAAAGCAAGTGGTTCCATGTTTTCCCAAGAAAAACAAGAAAAACTTTGATGTGTTTTATCATTTGTTTTATTTCACAAGAAGTAAAAATAGTGAATTTGAAATAAATTCCCAACTGTTGGTCATTTTCACGCTTCATGTTTTCAATGGTTTCCTTACTATTGTTAGTTGTATTTTATGAATGAATCATTTGTACAGATTTATTTTCATTTCAGCATATTGATCAAATTAATCAGATCAATAGCTGCAAAACAGAAGAAGAAGAACAGAACCAAACCAGGAAATGATGTAAAAACTACATAAAAGCAGAAAAAACGAAACAACCCTGAGAAACAAAGATGGCCTCCACCCACACCGTTACCATGGCAATGACCCTCATCCACCCGGCAGGCCCGGATCCCGACCGGACCCGTTTATCACGGAACCACGGGTCGAGACAGTACCACAGCAGAACGAGAGGCGATTAGATGCAGTCGGTCTCATGAAGCAGCTGATGAGGAAACGACGTTCGTATCAGAAACCTGAAGGATGAAATCGTTTCTTCACCATCAGCTGCATCCGACTCTGGATGCTTCATGTAAATCAGAGCAAACTGAGATCAAATGAGGCTCAATCCATCATCCTCAGTCTGATCAATAACTGGCCTAATTGTTCTTGTATCACAGCAATTATTATCATAACCACACTAATAAACAGAATAATATATTCAGCCAGAAGCAGCTCATCTGAGAACAAACACACTGACAGACTTTAGTCTAATGGAGGCCTAAGAACATTTTCCCACCAGCTCATTTACTCAGAGTTTAAACACTTCATATAAACAAGTCATTCAGTCAATAAGTCATAAACTGAATCTTTTGTTTTGGTTTTCTAGAACAGCCTCGACGTTCCCATCAACCATCTGGGAAAACGATCTCCAGTTTTTCATTTTAAATTGTTAAATATGTTGATGAAATTAAATGTTAAAATCCTTCTAATCAAGTTAGGTGTTTGATTTTTAATAAGTGTGTAATTTGTTTGCATTTATAAACGATCAGAGGAGTTTCTGTGAATGTTGAACATCTGTAATGAATTTCTCTTGGTGAATAATTATGCAGAGCAACATTTTTATCCCACAGATGATCATCCATCCCAGGGTTTTCCTCTGAAACAGTTTCTGATGAAGCGAAGCGTTGAGACGTCTGAGTAAATGATTCGTTCTCTGGAACCAATCAGAGCGAAGCGCCATCAGAAGCTCAGCAGCAGGAAAACAGCCCAGAACTAGAACAAAACAAATAGACCAACATCTTCACTGCCTTAATAAATCACAAAGTCCAACAGCAGGACAAACACACACACTAACAGTAATAAGAGTAAAATAGTGTAATATAAAATCGAAAAATTCTCACTTGCAGTTTTCCACATAAAAGGCGTCTCTGCGTGGGGGAGGGTTCATTTATCAGCCGGACGGTCTATAAGTTCACGCCTCAGCGGGCCGCTGCACTATTTATTAGGTGGGTTTTCTATGAAGAGCCGCATTGATTGTGAATAGTTTAAGTTGATGAATGTGTGGATATTATTTATTAAGGCGGCAGGCCGGGAGATTAATGCCCAGTTATTGTTTATTACGGTGGAAAGAGGAGGTGAAGCACACACACACACACACACCACACACACACACACACACACACCACACACACGGACACACACACACACACACACGCACACACACACACACACACACACACACACACACACACACACACACACACACACACACACACACACACAGAGACACACACACACACACACACACACACACACACACACACACACATGGACACACACAGACACACACACACACACACAGGCATACACACACACACACACTCCACATTAATATCTGCACATATAAAAACAGCAGGAATTATCACATATAAAGTTCTGGAACAGCTTTAAAAATAATATTTAACAGATAAACTGTGGAAATAAACTGAAAATGAATAAAAGCTTCAGAGCAGAAAGAAGCTTCGTTTCTGGAGGAAACCCAGATTTTCTAATCCAGATTAATCTGAGAAACTTAAATAGTTGCTATGGTAAATTATTTTTTCTGCTTCATCTTAACAGGAAAACCTGCAAACGACTGAACTGGATTCAGTCCAGAACAAAGTCACTTTTCCCACAGCGAAATGAAAACACTTTGTAAAAGTTTGCAGGGAAAGTTTTCAGACCGATTAAAAGAGAAGCGTCAATTCACAAATTATTTTAAAAAATTGCATTTAGCAAATAGAAACAACATAAAACAAGAAAAGTTTGTCTGATTGAACTTCAGACAGAAAATGTTTGTGCCTTTATATTAAACATCTGGTTTTATTTTCCAAATTCAGGTTTTTAATCAAATCTTACATTTTATTACAAATCTTTCATTTTGAATATTAATCACAGAAATCAAGAACTTCCCAAACCTTAAAAACATCAAAATGAAATTCAAGCCTTTTCAAGTATTTGAACGTTAAATGCAGTGAAAATCAAACTGATTTAAGTGGTTAATATCCTCTGCGCTCTGCCATGAAGCTGTTTGCTTTTCGGTATTTAGTTATTTGAGCTGTGATTTTCTCCTGACCAGGTTTGGGCTGAAATAAGATGAAAATATCACTGAATCAGAGGATTATGTGTTATTTTGCATTTCCTTTAGTGTGATCAGATGAAAATGAAAAAGGCAATTTGTTGAAATTCAACTAGAGAAATCCAGCTCAATGGGAGGAATCCCAGACAGAGCACTGAGGGAGATGAGAATTGAGTTTAACGGTGAAAGAACATGAAATATTTTGAAGAACCGTTTCAAACCGATGGATGATCTTCGGTCCAGTTCTCCTGCAGCGTTTTCCTGTCAGCCCTGAGCTGCTCTCAGCAGATGTACGAAGAGAAATGACGGACAGACGGGTTTGTTGTGTTTGTTTTGACCTCGGTCTGCCGCGCTCCTCTGAACCGCTCAGCGGTCGTTAACATGCAGCAGTTAATCAGTGCGGCCGCGTCACGAGCCGCTGACAGCACAAACAGCCCGATACGCTCAGAGTCAACACGGCTGCTCACTAACACAAACACAGACGGCCACTTCTGTGTGTCTCTAACACAAACTAACAGCTCTTCATGTGGAGCGCCGATCAGAGGAGAACCGCCCGCCGCAGAGTTTACTCGCGTTGACGTGACGGAGATCCGTCAAATTAATCACCTCGAAAATGTGGGCGAAAAGCGGCTCAGGACAATAAACTCTGCGGCGCCTTTCAACACAACGTGCGGTAACAACAACAGGATCGGTGTCGACGTCTCACTGGGCCCACACCTCCAACACATGAGCTGATGACAGAGGCAGACGGCCTGTGAGGCCCAGCGCCGCCGCCAACAGCGCCGCAGCCAGCGCCGCAGCCGCCAGCGCTGCAGCCGCCGAGCCGCAGCGGCGTGGGAACAACACGCCGAAGCCACAGCACACAGGGGTCAGAAGTCAGCGGAGAGCACAGGCAGAGCAGAGGCGTAGTGAGAATGTGTCAGTCAGTCAACCATAATGAAACACCTTCAATAGTTTGAACACTTTAAAAGTTTTCAGATTGAAACAATTAATTAAAACAGAGCAAATTGTTTTCAAACGTTTTATTAAAAAACCTGAAAACGTTGATAAATAATCAACGGTAACTTGACAAGTTAATGAACCTAAAACTCCCAGGTTGAATTTTAATTAAAGCCACAAGATGTTTTTATTTTTTTATCTCTTTTTACTAGAAAAAACAAATTAAACTCAAACCCGGATGGAAACTTTGTGTTGAAAACTGTTTTTCAATCTGCTGCCTGGACTGTAATCAGGGGCCGCTCTGAATTGTTCTGAGGGCCACAAATGGGCCCAGCGCCGCACTTTGGACACCCCTGGTCTATCTGTGTGTTGTTTGTTTTGTTTGTTGAACATTTGAAGTTCGAATGTTCGGAGATAAAAACTGTTTCATGTTTTCTAAACGTTTCAGTCGGTGACGTCTAGATTTCCTCAGCTTGAGTGTGAAAACCTGAACCGTGTGTGTGTGTGTGTGTGCGTGTGTGTGTGTGGTTTGGGTGTGTCTGTGTGTGTGTGTGGGTGTGTGTGTGTATGCCTGTGTGTGTGTGTGTGTGTGTGTGTGCCTGTGTGTGTGTGTGGTGTGTGTGTGTGTGTGTGTGTTTGCAGTGCGGTCATGCAGAGTGATGTGTGTCCATGGATCCGTATGGATGCCGTCTAATCCATATGGAGTTCTATCGGAGGACGTCTTCTGTGTCCGACTCGTACGAAGACGTTTCTCCCTGGAGACCAGAGGCTATAAATCACCGCTCTGACCTCATCGATACATAATCAATAAGACAAATATTCTGTAGGAACAGAAACTGACGCGCCAAAGTCCACAAAAAGATCAAAATCACTTCTGAGAAACAGGAAGTGCTTCTCCAGCTTCTGTCTGTTTCTCTATTAAAGTTCAGATGACGTCTCTCAAAAAGCCACAATATGGCTGAGCATTATGGGTAATGTAGTGTGAAAGGTCAACACAAGTTATTAAGCTTTTGCTTAATAAAAAGAAAAAGCAGGATCTTTCACTGGGCCCAGCAGGATCTTTTAAAAACCAGCAGCAGCAACATGAAACGTTTAAATTCAGCAACATGAAGATGGAACAGAAATGATTTTTTAGTAGTAAACATCTGTATCCAGCAAGGCGGCACACATCTGTGTTTGTGTTAAATACAAATATATCCTCACTGGAAGGTGATAAATCTGCTTAACATCAACAGTTTAATAACACAGAGAAACAG